TAATTTAAACTTTACATATAACATGGTCCACTGTTGTCCTGGTGACCTTGATATTGTGTTATTGTTTTGAAATCGGTTAGAGGAGAGGTTTTATGCGCACTTAAACCTGGTTTAACACCACCACAGTTTGTGCATGTACAGGTCAGGTTACCTGGACCATATGTGTTCGTTGTTGTTTGCCTTTGTTTGTATGTCGGGTTTTCGGGGGAATTGGATGATGGTTGTTGTGTGGTCTGTAATGTGCTATATTTTAGATATTCCTATTACCCCTTTTTGTGTTTTATTTTTTTATAGCAGTGAAATTTCAATGATTGTAATACCACTTAAGGTTTCTGCCATGTGAACCTTTATGTTCAATCAAGGTTACAGTGACCATATTGTTACAAAACTGTATTGTTCAAGGAAAATATAGCATTGAATATCATTTATATACTGTAATAATTGTAAAGAAATTAATATGATAGCCATATAATCATTAAAACCACTGGATGTGCATATATATAAGAAATACATGCTGACTTTTATGTAAATGATGTTGAACACTTGTGTTATGTAATGGAATTTAAATGGTGTTGGCGAGGGCCGGAGTCGGACGTTTCTGATTAATAGACAAGGGTGAATCTAAATTTTTATATACAAGTAAGGAGTCGTGAATTAATTTATTCTAAAGGTGTTTTCCTCCTCAATTTTACGATGCGACCGTTACCCTTCCCACAATCACGTCTTTCTCTTTATATACCAGTAATATACCCAATAAAGCCTTACCTTTTATCTTTACGGAATTCCAATTAGGATCATTGACGTTAAAAGTATCCTAATTCGAATACTACTGATAATTAGATACACAGTAACACTGAAAACGCACAGGAATTCTTTTATTTAACCTGATTAGAGAAAGTGTGTTTACTTTAAACTTGAAATCAAAACGGTGGACTATTTTAATACTATTACTTTTAAACACTGGTTTAAGAATTTTCATGTGTTGAATTAGCTGTTTAAGCTCATTTGAATTATAAATATTTCTAATATGTTGTTTTTATTGTTTGACTGATATTAGAATTTTAGTAAACAATAAACATTAGAGTTCGAATTGTCAACGATTTACTTGAACGAGTTCCTTGTTTGTTAATAAAAATTCGTTGATTGAAAAACGGTTTTCAATATTTTCCCCACAAAAACATTCAGTGGAGTGAAACGTGTTCCTATGAACCACATATCTTGCCTACGACTGCTGCTGTCCGTATACAAATATAGTGTTGACTGCCAAAAACTTTTAAAGTTTTATTTATCATTTAAATATGAACAAATAAAAAAAGAACCAAACTGGCTTTTTTCTTCAGATGTTATGTCTTGATCATGAAGAAGTTTATATCAAACAATGGTAGCATTATTATTTAAAGCTATCATTTTACTTTTATACCCTCATGGGTGTATCATATATACTTCATTCGACTTGCACCATAAGCGATGGTTATTTTAAATTTAGATCCTTAACATGAATTGGTATTGTCCAAAAGGGGATTGTATAAATCAAGGTTTGAACACCGCACGATTTATGAAAATCGATTTTGTCGACTTTTGGTATTCATACTGACTCGTTTTAAGGACACACAACATTTTATCGTGTGCATGGATGTAATCAAAATGAGGCATACGATAGGTTACCACTTTGAACTGATATAAAATGGGCATAAACAATTTAAAATAATTATATAGGACATATAGACCATATATAGTTGACGTTTAATTTATATGAATAGTTCGCGATAAGCATAAAATAGCTCGCCTCCAAGTGATGCTCGTCGAACAGAGAATTTGATTCTCGAGGGATATGTATATTATGATTGTTTGAGTTGTTTGAAGGCCAATCTACAACTTTAAAAGAAAGATAACTCTATTTTGATTTTACGATTTTCTCCACTTTCCCGGTTTAAAATTTTTTTTTTTATCGAATTAGATGCAATTTTTACTTTGTCTCGTTGATATTTTACCCAAAAACTGAGCCAGAAAAGGTCCAAGGTCATTAACTAGTAGTACAATTTGTACTGAAATATTCTGACATAAGACTCGAAGGGCATTTAAAATTTGGAGAGAAATAACTACGCACCCTTTTCTTTTTTGTGACGCATAATACTTTCGAAGTTGAGATTTCGGTTAAAGCATATCACATCCTCGGAAACGTCTTCTCTTTTTAACCGAGCATTAAACGAAGTATTCAATAAAGAGGGTACCAATTTCCAGACCTAAGACCGTTTAAACTTAACCGACTACACCCCGCCCGTCAAACTCATACTAAAACGTCTAGCATGCTGCAGTATTTGAATTTTCTTAAGCTCAATGATACATGTATTTTAAACAAAATGATATATCACCATTGTCGATTGGCGTAACACATCCAGTATTAAATATAAAAAATGCATATCAGAATGAGAACATGTAAATGTGGTATGAATATGTTTTGTTCTAGATCGACACGCTGAGCCAGATTTTTAACATGCTAGTTCACAAGGTAACCGGTCACAGGAATATAGAACACCTTACTGGCCACGCTATTGTGTTTCCTAAATACCACATGCATATGGGAGAACCAGCATATATCAATTTTCAAGTGACTTTGTCTTTTGTTTTTGAGTCGGCTGGGGATCGAACACACGACCTCCCGTGCTTGATTGATTGATTGATTGTTGTTGTTGTTTGACGCTACTTTCAGCACTATTGACTTAATCGTGGAGGTCAGATTTTATTGGTGGAGGAAGCCGGAGTGCCCCAAGAGAACCACGAACCTTCGGCAGAAAAACTGACAATCATAATCAATTCGTGCGAGTTTCGAACGCACAACCTGAGTTTTGACGGGCTAGTGATACAGTAGATGCAATACTTCGACCACTCGACCACCGGTGCCCTTTCCCGCATGATGCGAGCATGCTTCCACGAAACCACCGATGCGGTTCTTTAACTTTGAGATCAACTCATTGGTCAAATAAAATTTGTATTCTGCCATTTAATAAATTCAAATATACGATATTTTTAATCTGAGACCTACACCGAATCCAAACACTTAATCATGAAAATGAGGCAAAAGTGGAAAAAAAAACGTAATACGGACACATATTCATATATGTATGACTCATGTATAGTTACTGAGGAACAGACCCCATGCTAGAAACTGGAGCATAAAAATTGGGTGCAGGTCATACAATGTCTCATCATAAACTACCTCCATACAGATTTTTTGTCAATCTAGTAGATAGAAGGAACAAGGTTTTTCGCAAATTGTTAACGACACCGTCGTCGCTTTAAAAATAAGATGTATGTCTTGTCTACCTCTAACCATCCCCTCCCCTTTTGAACAGAAAATATACAAAGAAAATACACATATGCATTTTCTGAAATATCTAGCCTGCTACAATGCTTTGTCTAACTATAGGTTCACAAAAACCTAACGATATCAAACAACAAGAAAATGAAGTCAAGGTCAGATGAACCCTGTCGGGCTGACATGTACGCTTAATATTTAACCTTTACACCAAATATAGTTGACCTAATACTTATTTTATTTGATAAATTTATCTTATTACGGAAACATAATAATGACAATTTAAACATTTAAATTGGTCCAAGAAGAGAATTAAGACAGATGAACCTCGCCAAAAGAACATGTACACCTAACAAGCATTATACATCAAATATGACCAAAAACTTACAGTATATGAGACACGGATCTAATCAAGAAAATTGAACATCAACTGCTTAACCACCAAAATTATGACAAAATCAGATGAACCTTATCGGACATACATGTTCATCTTACCATCATTCCTTACATCAAATATATAGTTAATCTATGTTGTATTTTGTATACTGTTTTTTGTCTGTCTTTTTCTTTCTTAGCCATGGCGTTGTCAGTTTATTTTCGACTATGAGTTTGGGTATCTTTCGCCTCTCATTTACTTATAGTATAGCTGAGACACTGACCTTAGTGCCAAAAAATAAACGTTGATCACAGAACCATGAACAAATAAGGTCAAAGTCAGATGCATCCGGTCTAACAGACAAATTACGGTATATTCTAAGTATAGTCTACCATATACACGAAATAACAGCAAAAATAAACTGATGGAAAATTTGGACAGTTTTTATGCAGTCATTGAACCATGAAAATGACATCATGGACAACTGACTTTGCAAGAAGGAAACTTCACACCACAAGGAACGGAATTATCCAGATATTCTACCTTATGAAATATGGAGCTTTATACAAAATCTGACACCATCGCCACCGCTGAATCCCTATATCTCGCATTCTGCGACTGAAAGAAAACACCAAACAAACAAAAATACACACACACATACAAAAAAAACAAGAGTGCTCACGATAAAATTTATCGCCTGCTCAACTGATCACAATTGACGAGTAAATAAATATTACATACTAGTATAATAAACATCAATGATACTTGTAAATGTCGGTTAAGGTCAGATTAACTCTGCCAGACAGACATTTACACCTTTACACCTATTCCATAGACCACATATTGTTATCCTATTGCTTATATTTTCTGAGAAACGAATTTAACCATGCATGAAAACATAATTCTTACTTTTGAACCATGACATTGAGGTCGAGGTCAGACCAACATACCAGACAGGCATGTACAGCATACAATCATTCCATACACAAAATTGAAATATAAATCTTTATACAACAGATAGTTCACGCTACCGTCGCCGCCGCCGGAATGTTATAATGATGTCTATAGCATTCTGGAGAAACAAAAATAACACGTTAATAAATTTATTGAGTATACTTCTTTTAAGATTGTTTTCGCTTTTAAACTTTCGTGACAAATAAAATCTGTCTTAAGGAAAACAGAGACATAAGTGTGACGTGTTATTCCTATACATAGTAGATTTTTATAATGGTAACATCTATATAGTCGAAGTAAATTGACGAATATAAAGAAAAATAAACGTTCAAATGCAATTCTGTATTTTGAGACAAGACTAGTGATACATGTAATTAATTGACAAATAATGATTGATTTTCAGTTGCAAATAAAATATAACAATATTTACACAATATTTAGCACTGTAATTTTCTAGCTAACGTCGTTTATTCCATTTCCATATCGTCGGGTGGCATCACAATGGCATCTTCACACCTTTGGGCTATTTGTGGAGCTTGGAAAAGAAGTCCTTGTCTCGCCACACTTTGAGTTGCAACGTTTGTATGCATTACCGCAAAAGGAGTTTCCACAAACATGCCTGGATGATCTACAGCAGCAGAATTGGCATATATTATATCGGATTGTATATTTTGATAAGGCACAAGGGTAAACGGTGACCGTTGTATAGGTGTAGCAGAACAGTGGTTTTCATCGAAAATATTATGCATTCCAGAATTCGATTTGGCTGGAGTAGAAGTTGAATTATTTTGAAGATGATCAAAACGTTTGTTTCTAATTTGACGTACTTTTTTACCTTCTGAAATGGTTAATTCGGTTGATGGAATAGTTTCCGTCATTGTTTTTTCAGCACAGCATCTTTTCATTTTTGAACTTTGTTTACGCTTCGGAAAAGGCGTTCCTGGTTGCAGAGTCGACGAATCCTCCTCTTCAAGTTCTATATGACAGTGGTGTTTTCTGTGCTTTGGGGAAGTTTCATAAGTTATTTTTCTGATAATTGACTTTGCTGGAAACTCGGGAGAAGTCTTTTCCGCATGCACTGTTTTAAAGCTGTTTTCCAGAAGCATTCGGTCAGTGACAGAATTTCCTCGATTGACAGTTTGTTTGTTATTATTTTTGTCGGGTGGATTATATTTTATTTTTATCTCCTGAAAATTTTCTCGCCATGTTGAACATAGAATATAGTTCCGCCTGATTGTAAACTGAAAAAAATGCAAACAGAGTTTAATTAATGAGTTATTTTTTATTGTTATTATTTTCTTCGTATATGATTGTTATATAGACAAATTTATGGAAGGAGATCGCAAAAAAAAAACCCAAAAGAAACAATTTGTGTTTCTGCATACAAAGATCAGACGGTGATAAATTCGTGTCTATTTTTGCAAAAAACAATTTGAGCTGGAGTATCGCATTTGTGTAAAGAAAATGGATTGCAAGGGAAAACAGATTTTCAATAAAGTAATTTGAAGTTCTCCTGAACTTTGGTAAGTTTCTTATCCAGTTTTTCAGTCGGAATTTCATACATTTGGTGTAGGGACAGGAGTTCTATTTCTAATTAAAAATTCGTAAGGGTTCCGCGGAACCCAGTGTCTCGCCTACTTTTGCTGATAATCGCAGGCTCAACAAAAATGAGGAAAAAAATCAATAAAAATATTCCTTTAGATACTATCTTTTGATTGTAAGAAGCTTCTGTCAAAGTTTGGTATAAATCCAGGATAGTTTATGAATCTAATAAATGTTTTAAAAACTTTAACTGCAGACTGTATTTAATGTTAACTGGAAGAAAAACTAAGTCCATTTATAAGTAAAATACAGATAAACAGGTACAAATTTTAACAAAGTTTCCTTCTAGATACTAGCTTTTGATCATAAACAAGCTTCTGTCCAAATTTGGTACAAATCCAGGATAGTTTAAGAAAGTTATTAAAATTTTAAAAACTTTAACCACAGAGTGAATGTATTGTTTCCTGGCAGAAAAACTAAGTCCATTTATAAGTAAAATACGGAAAAAATGAAATTTTTTTTTTAACAAATTTACTTCTGGATACTATCTTATGATCATAAACAAGCTTCTGTCCAAGTTTGGTACAAATCCAGGATAGTTTAAGAAAGTTATTAAAATTTTAAAAACTTTAACCACAGAGTGAATGTATTGTTTCCTGGCAGAAAAACTAAGTCCATTTATAAGTAAAATACGGAAAAAATGAAAATTTTTTTTGAACAAATTTACTTCTGGATACTATCTTATGATCATAAACAAGCTTCTGTCCAAGTTTGGTACAAATCCAGGATAGTTTAAGAAAGTTATTAAAATTTTAAAAACTTTAACCACAGAGTGAATGTAATGTTTCCTGGCAGAAAAACTAAGTCCATTTACAAGTAAAATACGGAAAAACAGGAATTTTATTTTTACAAAATTTACTTCTGGATACTATCTTATGATCATAAACAAGCTTCTGTCCAAGTTTGGTAGAAATCCAGGATAGTTTAAGAAAGTTATTAAAATTTCAAAAACTTTAACCACAGAGTGAATATTTGTGGACGCCGCCGACGACGACGACGACGACGACGCCGACGACGCCGACGGAATGTAGGATCGCTATGTCTCGCTTTTTCGACTAAAGTCGAAGGCTCGACAAAAACGGCTCCATTTAGATTTAAACAAAAAAGGATTTTTTTTAGGGTCAACAATAAAACAATAGTGTACACTCCGAGATGTCTTGCCTATTTTTACTGATCATGATTAGTCTTTACGATCAATGTTTTACAGATATCACAGCAGCATTGACTAATGAATCAGTAATGTCCAACGAACCCTGACAGACGGACGTATACAATGGTACATTCATTTCGTACACCACATGAAAGTTGATCTAATGCTTATGGTGTCTTATAAACCGAATATTCATTGAAACTGAACTTGACCAGTGAACCGTGTTAACTTTGTTAATTAGACTTATCATCGGCTTTGTATTTAAATGAACATCGATCACGACTCGTGCCACGCGTGTTGCTTAGTCCTTAATTTTCTATGTTGTGTTTTGTATAATGTGGGTTGTATTTTGGACGCTTTTCGTTTTTAGCTCACCTGGCGTCCGTCGTCCTGCGTCCGTCGTCCGTAAACTTTTACAAAAATCTTCTACTCTGAAACTACTTGACCAAATTTGACAAAACTTGTCCACAATCATCATTGGGGTATCTAGTTTAAAAAATGTGTCCGGTGACCCGGCCAACCAACCAAGATGGCCGCCATGGCTAAAAATAAAACATAGGGGTAAAATGTAGATTTTGGCTTATATCTCTGAAACCAAAGCATTTAGAGCAAATCTGACAGGATAAAATTGCACATTAGGTCAAGATCTATCTGCCCTGAAATTTTCAGACCAATCAGGCAACACGTTGTTGGGTTGCTGCCCCTGAATTGGTAATTTTAAGAAAGTTTTGCAGCTTTTGGTTATTATCTTGAATATTATTATAGATAGAGATAAACTGTAAACAGCAATAATGTACAGCAAAGTAAGATCTACAAATAAGTCAGCATGACCAAAATTTTCAATTGACCCCTTAAGGAGTTATTGTCCTTTATAGTCATTTTTTACAATTTTCATAAATTTTGTAAATTTTTGTAAATTTTTACAAAATATTTTCCACTGTAACTACTGGGCCAAGTTCATTATAGATAGAGATAATTGTAAGCAGCAAGAATGTTCAGTAAAGTAAGATCTACAAACACATCACTATCACCAAAACACAATTTTGTCATGAATCCATCTGTGTCCTTTGTTTAATATGCACATAGACCAAGGTGAGCGACACAGCCTCTTTAGAGCCTCTAGTTTGTTATGGCATTGTCGTTTTCGAGTTTGAATATTTCTTTGTTATATTTCGCCTCTCTTTTGGACGACTTTAAAGTTATAGCAGGTATAAAGAAAGCATTCATGAGTATCATTTGCGATCATTTGCGATAATACACGTGAGGTGGAATGCAAATTAATGGAAGAAGAAGAAACAACCAAATAATCATGTAGACTGAACATTGACCAAATGAATCATGAAAAGGTCAAATTAAATCTACCAAAAAGAAAACCATTCCACAACACATGTGTTATAGTAGTCTCAGCACACAATAACATGCATATAGTTAATCTAATATTATTCTATGACATTGACCTTATCAGGAAAACTTAACGTTGACCAATGAACTGTGTAAATGAGGTTAAGGTTCATGTGGACCTTTGGCTAAAATGGCTGCGTTTTTACCTCAAAATTTACTCTGAGTACAGACAAACCTGTGTATCTGGAAAAGTTTTAAGGCATAGCATGCCCTAGATAAATAAAATTAAAATGCACTGTATGTTTTAGAAAATTCAAAACTTAACTGGATTTTGCTGTGCACTTTTATTCGTCCCCGCAGAAAATGATGAAATTAACATACAGTTGAGTTCACTTGATATGGTCCACTCAGGTACACAGTTGAAATCACCAATTATTGTCAGGTATCTATTGTCCATCTATTGTCCATGTCAAAATGATACAGTTCACTTCAATTATTACCTGAGGGGAAGTTCTCAAACCTCTTTCACAACTTAGTTTATTTTGCCACCTTCTGGAGGAATAAAAAAAAGTGCACTGCAAAATCTGTTAAGTTTTTAATTTTTCTAAAACATAAAATATATTTGAATTTTATTTATCTAGGGCATGCTATGCCTTTAAACTTTTCCAGATACACAGGTTTGTCTGTACTCAAGAGTAAATTTTGAGGTGAAAATGCAGCCATTTTAGCCAAAGGGTCCAGGGACATAAAAGTTAATATAGATGAATTATTTAACCCTGCCATATACACATTCCAAGATTTTATGATTACTATACCATTTATACTTCCTTTTTACACATCTCTCCGTCTCCCTTTGCATTTTTATACCTTCCATAACTGTTAGTGGAGTGATAGATCAAGAAAAAGGTGCTTATTTTACAACTTTAATGGACCGGCATACCTGCAGGCTAAAAACGACTTTTTTTGCAAAGCCAATACCTTAAGCTAACTTTTTTGCCTGGTCGTAGACATTTCATGCGGTGCAGTTTTTTTATAAAATGGAAAGAAAAAAGACATTTGGATTTTTTTTCAAATTTCAAGATGGGAAAAAATTTGAATTTTGTTACTTTTATTTTGTCTTTTGACATATGATTATGCATTTTATACAGAGTTTAATTGTTTATTCATAACGTAAAACTAGAATTCCTTATTTTTTTCTAAATTTTGTCCATTTTCACTCAGTTTAGCAAAAGCACACTCTGTATCATTTTAAGAAGTGGTTACAACATTTGTAAATTTAGATTACATTGATAATTTCATGATTTTCCGAATTAAAATGTTTTAAACTTCCTATCGTAAAGTTTCGAAGTCATTCCAAGTCAGTATTTCTTATAAATTAATTTTAATGAAGATTTTTAACTTTGCATTATAGTTCAATGAATATGATATGGACCTCCTCTTTATTCTGATGCTCATTGAAAGATTGTAGTAATGTTTCTAAACTTCCTGTCGACAAACTGCGAAAAGTCCTGGCAATAACAAAATGCATACTTGCTTTAAACATATACCTGTTAACCCCATTTCATCTTGCTTTGGCATTACAATTACACCATGAGTTTGGCTCTAAAAAATTATTGAAAATCCAAACTCTCGTGGTTTTTGTGCATCCTATTCTGAAGTACGTAGATATCGGAATAGTTTAGCAAATTTGGAAATAGACAGCATCCAAGACATGTCCTATGTACCTAATGGTATTGTTGTATTTAGAAAAGGTGGTCGTATTATACAGGAGAGAGCAGAAAATATTGACTTAAATGCTGAAACAATCGATGGTAAAAATACATTTCACTCCATGGCTCGAGTTGTATTTGAGTATCAGAACGAATCATCAAACGCCCACATGAGTTCCATAAAGGTTAAACGGGGACTAGAAAGATCTTTGACGTTGAATGATTCGAATACCAATCTTATGGCATGTTTACCTTTCTTTCGACAAGCCAACAGAACGGTATGGACCTCCTCGTTATTATAATGTTTATGGGAAGATTGTGTCTTGTTTCATCGAAAACCGAGATAAATCTGTCCTGTCTTTGGTATTTACAACTATGAAACAATGTTTAGATATGTCAAAACGTGCTGGTCAACAATATGCTGTGCAAACATTTGACAATCAATTGTATGCTGATGCCCAAATGTAAAATAGTCTATTCCAGGCGTGTTCGAGGATGAACTTTGGTATATGAGGCTAGCTCGCATGGCTCGTTTGTTTAATTTAAAAGCATTCTTCAATTAGTGTTAAGACGAAAATCGTTAATTAATATTGAACCAAATGTATGTCACAGTTCATTTTCTGAAACACCCAAAAGCGCTGAAGGTATTGCACAGTTTTTTTTCTAATTTTAAAGAACATATGTTGCCATTGTTAGAAGAATTCAGAATACACTCTTGTAAACTATCACCAACCTTCGCATTTTGGGATATGTTTCTTCGTGCAGTTGAGATATTGTTACAGAACATTAGGGCTGAACGGAATGGGTAGTGGCTTTTACATTTGAAAATGGTAGCTGCAATGTTGCGATGCTTTTTCATTACCAATCGGACGAACTATGCTAGGTGGACACCAGCCTACATATTGGATATGTTGAATCTGTCTAAAACGGTAAAATCTGTCTTTATGTCAGGTGAGTTTTCAATCAGACATAAACATGGAGCCTTAAATAGTATCTGGAGTGATATGGCTACAGAGAAAACTATTGTTAAAGATTCTAAAGGTTGTAGAGGCATCATATATAGGACTGACAAGGAAAAAACCGCTGTACTTCGATGGATGCTTACAAGACACATCCTTGCGCATTTCAGTTCTGAAATGAGACCAAGATCGGGATTAGCCACAGATGCAGAAATTGAACACGAAGAAAACAAGCCAACGGCAATGACACGAGACAAGAAGAATGTCTCTGATTTGATAGGGTATATGCATTCAAATATGACCGATCCATTTAACGTTGCCGATCATCCTTAGCCATTAATAAATACTAGTATTTCTACAGAAATAAAAGCCTCAATGTTCAATTTGGAGTTTAGTATGGCGTTCATTATCACTGAACTAGTATATATATTTGTTTAGGGGCCAGCTGAAGGACGCCCCCGGGTGCGGGAATTTCTCGCTGCATTGAAGACCTGTTGGTGACCTTCTGCTGTTGTCTGTTCTATGGTCGGGTTGTTGTCTCTTTGACACATTCCCCATTTCCATTCTCAATTTTACTCAATAAATGTTCATGATTCTCTTCTTAAATCTCTTGCACGTGGCAACCAGATGGTTAAATCTTATGTGGAAGGCTGATCTAATGAGTCTGAAACCATGTCTTCTACAGTCCTATGTCGAGGTCTCCTCTCAATACTTTCGATGATACGACCAAGACCTCAAAACTCAAGTGTAAATCTGGTGACTTTGTTAGGGCACATATAAACCCAGTAAAAATAGTTCGTCATGCTTTAGTTCTTGCAAATGTTCGTGAGAATGAGACTGTAGTCAGGATATTGGCATATCCTATTGGTCCCATACCTTCAGCTCTGTTCCATGATGATGGTACCATGTGGAAATGTTGTAAATGAGATATAATTCATCTCCTTGAAGAGGAAATTTGCTCTGCTTTCAATCTTCCAAGTTATGATAATATTTATTAAAGGTAGCAGGCTTATAGTTGATACGCCAGACGCGCGTTTCGTCTACATAAGACTCATCAGTGACGCTCAGATCAAAATTGTTAGAAAGCCAAACAAGTATAAAGTTGAAGAGCATTGAGGACAAAAATTACAAAAAGTTGTGCCAAATGAGAAAAGTTTTCAAACGGGAGATTAGGAATCGCCGTTAACATTGGAAGTGCATTTATCGCCTCATTGTATGATCCGAAGGGAAAGTTCATGTATCTTCATGATGATCTAAACAAGCTAAGGTTGGAGTTTGCCGCCACAAAGGATGCCAGTCTTTTGAAAATTCCCCCATGTAAAAACACGTTTCTACAGCACATCCCACGTGCAATGCTTCAAACGCAAGTTTGGATAAACTCTCATATTGCTAAACCAGTGATCATACTTTCCAAAGACTCATGTTGGTAAGAGGGTAAAAAAGGTTTGCTCTCGGTTTTCTTTGAGGGACATATGTCAGTAGATTTCATTCAAGACCTTGTTTGTACGTATACGGACAAGGGAAAACAGCTTGCAATAACAACTGTGTATGCAACCAACAGAAATCCGCGTATACCAATATTTGTTCATGTGAAGGGTCTGGTGGTTGTAGAAATTATTTAACTCACCGAGCAATATTGGAAGAAAACGACGATGAAAACGATGACTGATGTCATGTTTTCGAAAGTTGTCATGCCCTTTGTTTGTTAAAATACCCCATACAACCACTCTTTCTAAGGGGTCCATGTGTGCTTTTGTAACGCAAAGGCACATAAAACCTAAAAAGTTCATAGAGCTAGAATATACGCTGAAACTTTAGTCCATCATTAAACTTATTTGATTTAATTGCCTTGTGAAATATTTGTGACTGGCAATAAATATACATCAAAGCAAAATCCAAATTGACTTCGATTCTTTTTATAAATGTCGTAAAATTCAGAAATATATCTTTAGAAGTACATGCGATGTAAAAAAAAACTAATTGAGATTCCGTTGTTCCATCTTCTATTTTGTTGCTAGTCTGAATTCCCTTTAAAATGTGCATTTAGTGGTTTCATTATTTTCAAATTAAGTTGAAAATGTAGTGTCACAGTTTACTTCATTGTGAATTTCTTGTTTAGTAACAATTCAGATATTTTTTGGAGACTTTTTATAACCTCTTGTGAAATAAATTGACAATAGTGAAAAACTCAATCACTAACCTTTGACCTTATTTAAAAAAAAATTGCACCATATTTCAATTCTACGACCAGGCAAAAATTAAAGAATAAACATTTCTCTTTCCAAAAAGTCATAATTTAGCCTGCAGGTAAGGTGGTCCATTGAAAAATTGTTTGCTTGGTCACTCCTCTATTTCAAGTCATTCATTCTATGATTTGGCAGTAAACATTAATCGCAGTCACAAGGTTATCATACCATTTACTCATTTTTCCAGTTAAGGTTCAACAAAAGTAATTGAAAAATATGGTCGTATTAACACCACAAAATCTACTATGAGTACTGACAAACTAATGCATCTAGGAAAGTTTTAAGGCATGGCAGGACCTAGATATATAAAAGTTATATATATATGCAGTCTATGTTTCAGAAAATTAAAAACTTATCTGGATTTTGATGTGCATTTTTTTCCAGTCTGCAGAAGATAGCAAAATAAACACATGAGTTTCATTTGATACGGTCCACTCAGTTACACAGTTTAAATCAAAATGAATAGCAAAATCCAGAAAAGTTTATAATTTTCTGAAACATAAAATGCATTCAAAATTTAATTATCTAGTTCCTGCCATGCCTTAAACTTTCCCAGGTGCACAGGTTTGTCTGTACTTAGAGTAAAATGTGTGGTGTAAATACTGCCATATTAGCCAAAAGGTTATGCTGAACCTTAATGCATGCACTACTGATAAAACCCTTTGTATAAGGTAAACTATAGATTATTCAATACAAACCCCACACCACAAAGAGAAAATCAACAGGTTTATCATGGCTAGAAGAATTAGTGTTGTTGCCTGCCAGTCTTTGTCGACAGATGTAAAGTAGCTCGCACCAATCATACACCCAGTGAAGGAACCGATTGTAAATGGGGTGAACCAAATGGCACAACCAATATCTGCAATTAAATATCTTCGTTCTCTTCCTAGTGACTTGTTTTTAAGGAACTGAAAGAAAATAATTAAGAAATTGATAAAAGGGTCAGTAGTACGCCCATTTCTAGGATTAAAAACAAACTCTAAGCACTCGCAAAGTTAAAATAAAAAGACGATATCTTTTAAAAAATAAAACATTTATGTTCCCCTATCTTTAACTTGCTACTTAGTTATGATAGCATTTTTGCGATAATTTTAAAACAAACATTATTGTTCCCTATTTTTAACTTGCCACTTAGTTATGATAGCATTTTTGTAATAATTTTAAAACAAACATTAATATAAAACAAGATGAATGGTAGAACACTGTCTCAGTTATTTTCCATTCGTTTGATGTGTTTGAGTTTTTGATTTTGTCCTCTCCGTTTTGAATTTTCCTTGGAGTTCGGTATTTTTGTTATTTTACTTTTTTCTAAAAGTCATTGTTTTTCTTCTCTTGTTTTTCAGTATTTATGCATTAGCCAAGTTCAAAATGATGAATGACTTTCTATCTATAAATCTTGCAGAAAGAGTAAATACATTATATGTGTGAATTCATATTAGTGGGAAAACAACTCTTACCCATGTGACTGGTTTGGGGTTTTTCGAAATTGAAAATTGGAATCCACAAATTTCACATCTTGTTTTATCGGATGCTCCTAACCACTTTTCAAGACATGACATATGTAAAGCTCCGACAGATCCCGAACAGAAACATGGCGATAGGAGGTCCTCCTCTTCGTCTCCTTCATGACAGATTCTACAATGCGGTGCATCACTGTAAAAAAGATATACAAGTTAGACAAGTCAAATAGAGGTCAATATGAAACTACATTCCATAAACGGTAAAAATAAAGATGTGATTTTGTTTTTTCTTGGAATGTAAGGAAAATTTCAAGACAAACCACTTCATAGTACCAAAATTGTAATGGAAATTTAAAACAAATTAGAAAGAAGAGGAAATAAAGGGCACGTAAAAGTTTGTTTTTTTATAACTACGTATTAAACTGTTGACACAGAGATATGTCTCGCATGTCGGCAGAAAATTCAGAAAAAGACAATCTGATGGACAGCAACATTAACAAATAATTCAAAGTTGGTAGACCATGACCTACGGGGGCTGGGCCTTGAAATAGTCATCAAACTGATATGTACTGATAGTAATGCAACTTTATAAAAAAAAAAATTTGATCTATCACAAGTAGTTCCTATCAAACTGACCTAAGCAGAAAACTTAACAGTCGTCGCCGCCGGAAAAGCAACACCTATGTCTCGCCTTCCGCGACAGGCGGCACAAAAACTAACATACAAGGGGGAGGATTTTCTATTAATGACAGGCTTGAACCTAAAAGAAAAAATGAAAAAGGTTATACTACTACAAAGGATTTCAACATACCTATCACTTTCAGGATTAGGGAGTGTGGTAAGTTCAGCAATACTGTCACAGAGAAGTCTAGTATCGTCAGACCTGTTAGACAGATGGGACAAGAAGTTAACTATACGATAATTCGGTTTCTTTTAAGAAACACGGAGCAAGAAACGGAACCCAGTTATCATTCATTGAAAATTATTAAATGAGGTATCAAATTAAAATAATTCAATTCTTCGTTTATGAAGTTTCGCAATTCATCAATCTACTAATTTTTTTTTAAATCTATATAAAAGTATGCTTTCTATTTCAGTGTGTATGGATTTTTTTTTAATATCCTTCATCAGGAAAGCGCAAGGACAAAATATTTAAGAAGCCAATGCATAAACATTTGAAAAACAAAGCCAAAAATACGATGGCCGTATGCATCCATGTCGCGTTTTTTGGCAATTCGCCTTGATCATCAGTACAGTCAATAGAACAAAAACGCGAAAACGGGATGACGAAAACTGGTTAACGCGAAATTGTTTTTGCCTTGCGTTTCACGTATTCGCGTTTTGGCCTCCGCTTTCATTCATATTTGCCTTTTCGATGTTTGGCATTTTCGTCTCTGCAGTAATCTACTCTCGCATACTTATAAATGCACTGCTAAGTTTGCTTAAAAAATCGAAAAGGATTGTCTCGCCTTTTTCTTGATCGTGTAGAAGCTTCAATCCAAGTTTCATAACCGTGATCTCATGAAGGTTTAACAAAGTTATTGATGTTTAGAAAAATTAATTCCAGACTGTATGTAAATGTTAAAAGTCCATTTATCAGTAAAATACGGAATATGAATAAAAGTATATTCACAATTTTGCTTCAGACATTATCTTTTAATTATAAAAAAGCATTTGTCTAAATTCATGAAGCTTTATGTCTAAAATAGACTTTAACCCCAGTCAGTCTCTTAAGTTAACTGACTGCAAAACAGTTCAATTATCAGTTAAATCTAGGAAAATGTTTAAAAAAAAACATTTACAAATGTTGATCAGGATACTATCTTTAAATCATAAAATAAGCTTATGTCTAAGTTTTATATAATTCTATGAAGGTTTGACAAATTAATTGATTTCCCAAAAACTACAGATTTAACCTAAACGTTGACGACAACGGAATATACCGGTATGATCAATATGTCTCCTTTCCGCGACAAGTGTCGTCGTCTCGACAATATATCATTATATGTACATTGTCGGAAAATCTAAAAGTTATTTGTACGATATCTAGAAACAAGGCGAAAGCTAAGCTCGCTGAGCTTTTCTCCTGTTTAGCAGCGAGTTCAAATACATTTTATATTTCCGACAATGAACATATATTTTCCTCCAATTTACGCCTGGACCTTGAAGCTTTAGTTGTTTAATTCCAAATCATTGTCTCTGATTTTTCAAAGAAATCGACATAGTTTAAAAGCAGACCGCGAAGAGGACCCAAAATGAACTGTTAAGCAAAAAGAAATATCCATATTGCCGCTTGCTCAACATGGAAGTGGGGTAACAGGAGACTTTATTTGTACAGGTACAAATAAAGCAAATATTTATTTTTGTATCTGTTATTTGTACAATAGTTGGCTGATCGCAGGATAACAAAATTGACGAAGACGTAGTTTTGATCATTTAACAATATTTTATATATATATATATATATATATATATATATATATATATCAGACCTGCCTTGAATACCAAATATTTCCCCTCTGCAGTCCCCCCCCCCCCCCCCCCCCCCCAAATAAATCCATCCCTGTACGTTTAGAACCTTTGGACCTAGGTGATGTATTGCTATTCAGAATAACAATGTTTATAAAAAAGAAGATGTGGTATGATTGCCAATGAGACAACTCTCCACAAGAGACCAAATGTCACAGAAAGTAACAACTATATGTCACCGTACGGCCTTCAACAATGAGCAAAGCCCATACCGCACAGTCAGCTATAAAAGGCCCCGAAATGACAATGTAAAACAATTCAAACGAGAAAACTAACGGCCTAAATTATGTAAAAAAAATGAACGAATAACAAATATGTATCACATAAACAAACGACAACCACTGAATTACAGGCTCATGACTTGGGACAGGCACATACATACAGAATGTGCGGGTTTAAACATGTTAGCGGGATCCCAACCCTCCCCTAACCTGGGACAGTGGTGTAACAGTACAACATAAGAACGAACTATAAAAATCAGTTGAAAGAAGCTTAAATTATCAGACGGATAAAAATACAAATACTACAAATACAAGTGCATCTAAGACTAAATTATCAATCCGGGCGTACACAGCCAACATCAGATGGATTTAGTGTAGAGACGTACGGTTAAGTAACGACTTGTCACCAGTTCTTTCCTAATTCTGGAAGGCTTTGTTTTAAAATGACGTGCCTGCTGTTATTTATAGGATAATATAACAATTATTTAGCAAAACCGTCATGCATGGTTCTTAAACGTTTTGATTTGGCTTATGTTAATTGGTGTTGTCAGGGTTTGGTTTTGACTTATTAGTATCTTCAGTTTTGTTACTTAAACTAAAATAACTATTTAAGGTTAAATGACAACTTTTCAGCAATGATGTTACTTGAAATTATAGAACGCTTCAACTTGGCCCATGTCCTGTTACTTTAGCAAAAATAGATTTTTTGGTAGTAACTTGACAGCAATTCTGTTATGTTCACTTTTAAAACTTTTTCGTTCAACCTATTTCCTGTCAATGTAAATTATCATTGATATGGTCTACAGGACAAGACTTTGATTTTTTTACCACAGGAATAGATTACCTTGGCTGTATTAAGCAAAACCGCTCGAAATCTTGGGTCCTCAACGCATTTCAACTACGTACTTAATTTGCCGATTTTAACTTTTTTGAATCGAGCGTCACTGGTGTGATTTATAGACGAAACGCGCCTCTGGCGTACAAACTTTTAAGCCTGGTATCTATGATGAGTATTTACATATATTTCCAGGGAAAGAAATTTTTGTATCGGCATGTTACATTTTCTTCTTTATGTTCTTGGCTATATGGCAAAGGTAAAAAGTATTGTCATTTATCATTCGGTATAGTTTTGTATTACTCAAGATTGGTTGTTCTGTTAGCGCACCTATTTGTTTTCGAGCTTGTCAGCAACACGTACAAAATTTTTTGGCTACTTGAATGTTATTTTGACTTATGTATACAAATGGCTAGTTAACAATTGTCTTTTATAGTTGTAAAAACGTTTAAATATAGTCGGTACTGTTATGTGGACTTACAATACCGTTTGAAAAGCATCTGTACTGTTGTATGGACTTACAAAACCGTTTGGATAGCGTCTATATGTAAGAGATAAATTTGTCCTGGTAAAATATGTCCGGGCGGACATATATTACTAGTATAAAAAGTCCATGGTTAAAGAATTTACTAGTAATTTTAGTCCGATGTTAGTAATTTATGTCCCCAGACAAATTTTCCTAGGAATTCAAGTCCATGTCATTAATATTCCTAGGTAAAAACGTCCATGTCCTTTTTTTATAGGAAAAAATATTAATCGGAATCAAATCATTTACATTTAAACAATTGAAATTTAAATGTTATGTTTAATTGTTTAAGAGTTGTGTATTTATAGTTTTGATAAAATGTATGTCCCCAGACTAATTTTCCTAGGAAATCATGTCCATGTCAGGCATAAATAATCCTAGGAAAAACTTCCATGCCCTTTATTTTAAAAGGTAAATATAAATGTTATGTTTTAATATTGTTTAAGATTTGTGTATCAATTTTTTTAATAGAATTTATGTCCCCAGACTAATTTTCCTAGGAAATCTTGTCCAAGTCATGAATATGCCGAGTTAAAAACATTTATGTCTTTTATTTAAAAGGAAAATTCTAATGAAACAAATTATTTATATGTAAACAATGGAAATTCAATTTTTATGTTTTAATATTGTTAAAGAGTTGTGCATTAATATCTTAATAAAATTTATGTCCCCAGACTAATTTTCCTAGGAAATCATGTCCATGTCATTAACATGCCTAGGTTATAACGTCCATGTAGGGAACAAAATAAAACTTTCCCATCTTAACTAAGAAAATATGTTTTTTTTTTATTTTCATTAATTTTCATAATATAATAAAAATTACTAGAAAAACAAGTCTTAGGACAATTTTTCCTAGGAAAATAAGTGCCAGACATATTTTACTAGCCATGGACTTATTTTCCTAGGAAAATTTGTCCTGGGACATACATTCCTAGTAAAATAATGGTCATGGACTTGATTAACTAGGAAAAAAAGTCTGGCGGACAAATTTTACTACCGGACCAAATTTACTGTTACATATACTGTTATATGGACTTACAAACCCGTTTCCATTGCGTCTGTACTGTTATATGACTTACAAAACCGTTAGGATAGCGTCTGTACTGTTATATTGACTTACGTGGTATTATGAGGGTTGGGTAGAGACTTATCAGCAATACTATCGTGTATAATTCTAGAACGTTTTGGTTTGACTTCTGTGGTGTCATTGGTATAATCAGAGTCGTCCAAAGCGATGCTGCTGTACACTGTCAAATCTTTATAAACCTAAATAAAAAATGAAAATCTTCACTTGTCAACATATTAGTTCCTCCTAACACAAGTTCTTCTGAGAACTTTGTTATAAACAATGTTATAATACCTGTCCCTGCTGGCACAAATATTCAATACCCTTTATTCCGTCAAGAACATGAATTTTTATTCCATTACATAGTTACTTAAAAAATGGCCCAAATGAAGAAAATCACCAAACCATGTATATGATATCACGATCAGGAATTAGTTTCACAAAAAATATTACGACTAAAGTTGATCGTAAGTATACTGAATTGTGTAAGACTTACGATCAACTTTAGTCGTAAGATTTTTTGCGAAATTGACACCTGCAGGAAACCACACGACGAACATCCAATGGATAATTGGTCTTATTAAAAACTCAACATGAACATTTAACCATGAACGTAAAGTAAAGGTATCATTGCAAAACTGACTTGTTTAAAAAATTAGAATACACTTCACCCCGATCAAGCATTCCCTGTGAAACATGCAGTCATGTAGACGTTTTCAGGTCAGATATTACTTCGGTTATCATACCGACTTAGCTATTTTGAAACAAAAATCGAAACACTTTTAAATACAACTGTATTTCGTTGATGACCTTATAACATCGGCTCCAGCTGTCTTTTAGTGCATGTCATTTATATAATTTGTCTCGTCATTTCCCTTTATTCTATTCTTAAAATGATCGAAATTCGGTCATGTTTGATTGACTGATTGAAAAATATCTGTTTAAAGTCCAACGGCAAATATTACAGACATATTGCAGAACGTTCTCTTGTTAATGACTCGTTTTTATGAGACATAACTATGATAGATTGGTGGTTAACGTTCAATGACAGATATTAAATGGATATCAAGACGGAAACATGCTATTTAAATGCGACCTGAAAATGAATTTGGACAGACAAGTTGAGTGGGAATTTTAATGTGCTAGTTACTAACGTAACTGTCCGCTCGAAGACATGTCACCTTACCAAAACACACATAGTATTCTGGCTGCGAGACGATCAGTTTAGTCTCCATTAAATCTATTCACAACTAGTTCAGATTCTTCTTTTTCCAGGTAAGGAACCGGATTAAAAATTAGAATGCGCTAAGTTCCGCGAGAAAACTTTGTGCAGCGTCGGGCAACACAGAAAGTTCTCTCTTGGCTATTTACGGATTCTGAACAATTTACAGCTTAACATGTGATAAAGACACTTATGTATTGTTGAAAACAACATGTTGACCACCAAATATGTGTTTTCTGGTGTTGTGTTGATTGCCCGTTGTCGTATTGACATACCGGTATACATTACAGATCCTTAAAATAATAATTCGACATCAAATTGATTAAATATATGAAGGTTTTGTGTTAAGTGTCCATTGATTACTAGTAATATGATTTTGGCGTTGTACATAAAAATTATGACTTTTGCAAAGACAGTTAATTTGTCAACGTATATTTGTTCCGCCTAACAGATGTTCCACTAGAAACTTTGTTATAAACAATGTCATAATATCTGTTCCTGTTGGAACAAATATTCTATACCATTTATTCCGTTAGGAACATATACTGTAATATTTATTCCACTGGAAATAATATTCCAGAATACTTTTTCCATTTGGAACTTGTATTATGAAGGAACGTCTATTTCGTGACAACTTAACAGCCTGTGATTCCATTGACATACATACCTTAGGGTTCCCTTTAGAAGATACCGGAGACATAGGGTCAAATCCACTGGTTTCCAAACTTTCTTCTCCTCTACAAGCAAGTATATAACTTCCATTCAACTCTCTTGTACTGTCATTCCTTTTGTGTTTGTGTTCAGGAGGTGATTCGTCTGGTAGATTGTCATACCCAGAAATATTCATTCTGGTCGTCCGTCAGTCAAACGTCAAATATCGGTCTCACAAAACTGAAAGGTGTGCGTGTAACGGAGTGAGTAGAGTTTAAATTTGTAATTTCGGGAGCCCTCGGTGACCCATATAAAGCCTACGGCATTTGCGTTAAACTAAATACAATAGTTGTTTAAAATTTATTTCCAAGTCGACAGAAACTTAATTTTTTAGATTTGTCTCAGACAATTACATTTAATTTACATTTGCGCATGATATTTGTTGTGTTAGGTCACTTAGAAAATTAGTTATTCTGATGTAAGTAATGTAAAAAAAAAAACTGAAAGCCCCGTGTCTGACAGGTGACCCCTCGGTGATATATGTTTAATACAGTAGTACAATTAGTTTCTGAAAATGAATAAAGATTTCAAGATCTTAGAAGCTAACCTGTCAAAATGAAACTATTCTTACTTTAAATAAAATTTCCATAGACCATTCATCGTATTTTCTTTATCCTCCGATCCCACGTTAGAATACAATGATATAAAAAATATAAAATGAAAAAAACACCTCAATAATTTCGTGCGGCGTCCGAATCGCTTTTCTGAATGAACGCTCGAACCCAACTATATCAAATCAATCTAAGTGATCAATCGGATTCATTGTATACTTTTGTTCTAAAAAGAGTTTTTGTGTGTTGGTCCCTTATGATATTTCTATAGCGATGCAATAAAAAAAACTATTATAATATGCTTAATGTCAAGTGGCAAGTATTTCATGCATATTCAGGACGAGAACAAATCAACAATTTGAAATAGAATAGGTATATTCTGCAATGTATGTTGACCGAATGATGAAGAGAAATTTTGACTGACACTGGAAATTAAAGTTCGTTTGATAGGGCAGAAATTAGCTTGCAACAGGCCAACATTGGACCCCTAAAAGATTTCTTGAAAATGATTGCTTACGTACAGAGAGGATGACACTCTCACTATACATCCTTGCATCGGATTTAACTTTGTAATTCCTACCGAATGTGACTGCGTATTTATATATCCCGCACAGACAAACGAACGCCCCACTAATGATTGATTGATTGGTGTTTAACGCCACTTCCAGCACTATTGTGCTATTTATTGGCGGTCAGTTTTTATTGGTGGAGGAAGCCGGAGTACCCGAAGAGAACCACCGACCTTCGGTAGGAAAACTGACAATCCTAGTCAATGAAGATTGGAGTCGAACGTACCTGCCACGTGCGGGATTCGAACTCACAACCTCAGTGTTGACAAGCTAGTGATACAGTAGTTCGACTACTTAGACCATTCGTCAACCGAGGCCCCTTCCAGCCTAAGATAAGATTTTACTGCCGGTCGCGAGTCCAGCGATGACCATATTTCTATACCCCGAGTCAACCTTTGAAGGTATTCTAATTGGAGGTATGGTTTAGATGATATGTACTAAATAAAATTGAGAATGGAAACGGGGACAACAACCCGACCAAAGAGCAGAAAACAGCCCAAGGCCACCAATGGGTCTTCAACACAGCGAGAAAATCCCGCACCCGGAGACGCGCTTCACTGGCCCCTAGATATAAAAATGTATACTAGTTCAGCGAAAATGGACGTCACACTAAACTCCGAAACATATAAATGAACCAAAATTAAAAAAAACCTAAAAGACAAACAAAGGCCAGAGGTTCCTGACTTGAGACAGGCGCTAAAATGCATCCGGGTCAAACATGTTTTGTGAGATCTCAACCCTCCCCCTATACATCTAGCCAATGTGGAATAAACAAACACGCTGCAATACGCACAGTAAAATTCAGTAGTATACAAATCAACTAGGCGCCTAACGAAATTTTGTGAGGTAGATGGATTCAAACGGTCATACAATGTTTACAAATTGGTAGATCGGTTACATTTTGACATTATTCACGAGGTAAATTGAATGATGAGTCCGTTTGAATGAAATTCGGTGTACAGCAAACATCAAATTTCCTCACAAACTCGTGTACCTTACTACAGATTTTTTCTTTTCCATATACAATGCATAGAACAATTCATCGTTTGTCGTGATTACAAAAGAAGAAAAAAATTCACGTTAAACTTTTATACTATAGTATAGAAAAATCATACATTGTCTCGAAATATAAAATGTATTTGTACAAGGCTGAGAAACCGGTAAAATGCATTATACAGAGGTCAACTTTAAAAATAAGTTTAATGGACTAATTGTTTTTACTCTTGATAATCATATTGATAGGACTCTTAGTCTGCAAGCACATTTTTCAGTATTAAACTTGAAGTTACCGATTGGAACAAGCTTTATACACCTTCTTTCAGATGTGAAAAAACACGATTTAGATACCGGTATATGGATCGGAATGGACATTAACCTTAGATCTTCGACATAAAACATGTTTTAAGTCTTGACCCTCAATCTGCAGATCCCAAACGTATCTACAGCACATATCATGTCTGCAGTTGTATGTAACTATACAAATGAATCGTATTAAAAGCGTAGACAGTTTCTGCACTTGAATCTTTGGCATAATTATTTGTGTCCCTGGCCTTTAAGCTTGATTGCTTGATTTATTGGTTGGTGTTTAATGCCACTGTCAGCACTAGTGTGCTATTCCGTGGCGGTCAATTGTTATTGGCGGAGGAAGTCGGAGTGCCCGGAGAGAACATTAAGCTTGATATCTGCATGGTCATTAAATCTAAAGATATCTTCTCAACTGATAAGGAAAACAAGATATCTTGATAGATATTGTATACTACGTTGTATCTGAGAATGAAAGTTCTATCTTGTATTCAATATAAGCTGCATTATGGATGCCCCCACTCTTTCTTACAAGTGGGAAATAACTACTGTAGCTTATGCTGTCTTTATTTTGTAAATCATGTCGACTCGAAACAAACGGCCAAGGTGGACACGACTTCACTTACATGCTAGTAACTGTACATGTATGCTTGCCGGTCATTTACAGCAATCAATAATGTGTACCGGAAAACCAACTAGAGACTCTATAGAGCATGTGTCGCTCTGTGCATCTTCAACAATAAACACTCATTATTTAAATCATGATAAGTCTCTTTTTTTTGTTGATCTTGTACTGCTGATCATTTTTTGTTTTTGTTTACAGTTCCCCTCTATCTTCTTCAGTTTTTGTTAAAAACACAAAAAGGGTAAATAATCATCAAATATTGGCAATAACTACTGCAAAGAGTCAACTAACGATTTCGGCAAAAATCGACTTATTGGTAGATCTGGTCTTCCTGGTCAGTTTTGATATTTTAAGGGTCGATCTTTGACTTTTCGGGATGATGGGCAAAAACCCCCCAAAATGGTAAAATTCATCATTTAAGAGCAATAACTCCAATAAGGAATCGACTGACGATTTCAGCCATGTTTATTTATTTTTAGATTTTGTCTTGATGATTATTTTTTCTTTTTAAAGTTTCCATCTACTATAACTGTATAAGATACAACGCAAAAAAATGGTCAAAACAATCATTGAAGGGCAAACACTCCAATAGAGAGTTAACACACGATCTCATCCATGTTGACTTATTTGTAGATCTTATCTTGCTGATCATTTTTGCTATTTAAAGTTTCTATCTATCATAAATTTTAAAATGATAAAAAGTTAAAATAAATTCGTCATTTAAGGCAATAATCAAACAAAATTCGTAATGGGTGAACCCTGTCTCGCCTGCGGTTGCTGCTGTCACTGCAAAAGTGTAATGTTGACTTAAAAAGTGAGTCCATTTTGTAGTAAAATATAGATTTAAAAAAAAATCAAACTTTTTCTTTAGATGCTATTTAATGGTCTTGAAGATTAGCTTCTGTCCAAGTTTCATAACAATCCATGAAGGTTTACAAATTTATCATGTCAAAAAAAAATCCATCTATCAGAAAAAAAATGAAAATGAAAAAAAATTTATTTTCAAAAGTTTGCTTCAGACATTATCTCAATCATAAAAAAAATCTGCCAACGTTTCATTTCTATGAAGGTTAGATGAAGTAATTGATGTATATCAAACTTTAATCCCAGACTGTTATCTATTTGTTAACTGTAAAAAAACTAAGTCCATTTATCAGTAAAATACGCAAAAATGAAAATAAATATTTTAAAAATTCTGCTCTGGATACTGTATTTTGGTTTTTAAGCAAGCTTCTGTCCAAATTTCCTAAAATTCCATGAAAATTTGACAAAGTATTTGATGTCTAAATAAATGGAGAATGTGTCCATGGGACACAGATGATGCCCCCGCTTGCATATAACGTTAAAAAGGGACATAACTCAAGAACTGTAAAAGTGACCAAATTTGTACTTAATCTGTGTTTTGTGGTGATGAACATTGTGTATAAGTTTCATAACATTTGGTTGAGGCAAACTAAAGTTTGAGAACGGAAACGAAAAATTCAGTAATTTTTCTATTTGTAAAGGGGCATAACTCTAGAACAGTAAAAGTGACGCCACCAAAATTCAAACTTGATCTGTGTTTTGTGGTAATAAGCATTGTGTACAAGTTTCATAACATTTGGTTGAGGCAAACTAAAGTTAGAGAACGGAAACCAATTTTGGGACATACGGACAAACAGACGGACAAGGGTAAAACTTGATGCCCCCTCCGCTATGGCGGGGGCATAAAAAACTTAAAACACAGACTTAACCTAAATGTTGACGCCGCCGACGGAATTTAGGATCGCTAGGTCTCGCTTTCGCGACATAAATGTTGCAGGCCCGACAGTCATCGGACATTTTCGGTGTATTTCGACAGTAGGTAGATCTGACCATTCTGCCCCATCAGATTTTCTCTATACATAGTAGTTTTAAAGATTCAAGACATCCTCGCATCATTCGTTCTCCACCCACTCATGTTCTATTTTTAGCCCTATTGGAAAGCAAGCGGGGTCATTGGACACCTTTTTTTAAAACAAGATGCCCACATGTTAATTGTAGCCAAGTTTGATTAAATCTGGCCCAGAGAAGGTTTTTGTAAAAGTTAACGGATGACAAACGATGAACACCAGGTGATGGGAAAACCTCACATGGCCCTTTGGCAAGCTTAAAAATACAATCAAACAAGAGCTTCTAATGAAGAATGAAAAGAGGCTAGCCTTGTCCTTAAACATCACGATATTGTCCGTCCTCTTTTCCCATTGAGCTTGAAATATTGGATAGCACAGATACAGAAAGGTGACTTGAATCTAGAAATTTACAAGAGCCGATTGAGACTACAAATTTTTTTTTTATTTTCTTTAATGTGAACTTTCCATTTCTGTTTGCAACATTCCTGCAGCATATACCTCATACTCGATACTTAGTCCAGTGATTGTTCTTTTACCCCCTTATGATTTTCTTGAGTTGCTGCTTTGAAGGAAGCTATTTATCCAAGGAATTAGAATCCTTATTGTAAAGTTGAAATCATCCCTTTGAATGTTTGTCACTCGGAAGCCACAATCCCATCCCTTTTCCTCGATTGAAGTCAAATAATTCTTGCTAAGAGCACCACAACTGGTGCTAATAGTGGAGCTGCTTAACCTTCAGATTAACAGTTCATCAAAACAGGTTGTATTAATTTGATCCATGCATACTAGAGATAGTGTGCAACATGAAAAAAATCACCTTAAATCCGACGGTTAAAGTGCCATAACTCCGGAATAAAAAATGGGTAAAGTCTACATGCTCTTTGGTATTCCCATTTGTTATAAAAGAGGATGGTGGAGTCCTTACAGAACTATTTTATTAACTCTTTCATTATTATATAACTATCTTAAACAATGGATCTCATCAGCAGTTGTTATTTTGTCTTCCTGTTTTTTCATCTATTAGAAATAAGATATTGATGGAAAATCGATATCAAAATTTTAGCCAGCATGATTCACATACTGGAGTAGTATTATGCATCATATTTTATAAATGATAATTGAAGCAATATTTGCTGATTGGCAACATCTTTACATAATTTTTAAACACAAACCCAACAGGATGTTCAAAATACATTAATATATGTCAGTTAATGGCAATTCCTTACAAAGGCGAAAATCTAAAATTAAGACAAACCATGAGCCCAGTATTTTATTATTTATTAGATGACAATATTATGACTATTTATGAAAGAAAATTGATTATTTTTGTCATCTAATAAACAATAAATAAGCTGACAGAAACTCATTTTGACACAATTCAAATAGCATAATAGGGCACTGCAAAAAGAAGGGTAATTTTTCACACTTCTATGAACTGCTGTCAATTAGAAGGGCACATTTAAACAAAACAAAATAAAATGCTCCGCTGGGGCGCAGCTTGATACGACCGCAGAGGTCGAACCCTGAACAGTTGGGGCAAGTATGGACACAACATTCAAGCTTGATACAGCACTGAATTTGGATTGTAATTAAATATTTGACACAGCATAGGTTTCTGACACAGAATGAAAGTGGTCTAAGAACTTAAAAATTTTCAATTTACCTATTCATACATGTGATGGACTGTGAAACTCAGATCAGGAGATTGGGAAATTTTGGTCAGGAGATTAGGACTCAGATCAGGAGGTTTTTAATCGACATTAATTTTGTTGTAAATGTAACCGTGTGCTGTAAAAATTGTCTTTTAAAGTGTGTTTTCTTCAACTTTCCATCCAATTTATTATGTTTATAGTACCCTTGTACTTATAAAGTTTCTCCATCTTTATATTCTACATGTTCAATCTAACATTGTTTTTTTCCAGTATGTTCTTTAAATTTTTTACTTCATATTCTATAAAACAATCATTGCAACCAGAACATTTGTTTAGCTATCTGCAAATAGTTTTTATTTTTTTTTTTTTCTCTTGCAAATAGTTTTTATTTGCAAACTCAGAAAATCATTTTATCTGTAAAATTAGGGTCATAGTTATTATATAAATTTCAATTTAAGCCTTGAAAGGAAGTATAGAATCCTCAAATAATTTTCAAATTATTATTTTTTTATTTGTCCTAAGACATTTAAAATCATTTAATAACCATCCTTTTATGATTATTTGTTCAATTTATATTTTATTTATATTCTTTTAAAAATTTTCTATTTAAAAGGAAAGTAACTTAAAACAGGATAAATCAAGGGAAGTAACCCAATAAATACACAGTTTTTGTTACACAACGGCAGTTAGCCTGAGGTAAAAATCGTTGATTACCTGTATGTTTGACACCCAAGCTGACAAGTGAAGCCATATAATTATGCATGTTAATTGATTTACAGGTAAAATATAACTTCAGGTAATGTCAGTTACACCAGATGCCTGAGATGATATGTTGGGCAGAAATTTTTCATTCATGAAAAATTTCATACACGGGATTTTTTCCTCTTCAACGGGAGGTCGGGAGGAGACCCCTGAAAACGGGATTATTGTACTCCCGTCGGGAGGTTCACATGTATGCCTATTCAAACCATATCATTATTATTTGCTTTTATATATAAATCAGAAATAACCAATTTAAAATGGAAAATGTTAAAGAAAAAAAAGGAAAAAAAAATCCCCCCCCCAATTTTTTGAACCCCCTTATGATTCATCACCCCCAAACTCTATCCCAGCTTTCCCTTTGTGGTATGGTACCTTGCAGTACAATTTCAGAGAGATTCATACACTTGAACACAAGTTATTGTCTGGAAACTAGAAAAATGCGTTTTTTGGCCCCTTTTTGACCCCAAATTCCTAAACGTTTAGGGCAATTACCCCCAAACTCAATTCCAGCTTTCCCTTTGTGATATGGAACCTTGCAGTACAATTTCATAAAGATCCATACACTTACACACAAGTTATTGTCCTGAAACTAGAAAAATGCATGTTTTTTTTGCCCTTTTATGGCCCCTAATTCCTAAAATTTGGAGGAAATTACCCCCAAAATCAATCCCAGCATTCCCTTTGTGATATGGAACCTTGTGGTACAATGTCAGAGAGATCCATACATTTACACACAAGTTATGTCTGGAAGTTACAAAAATGCTTATTTTTGGCCCCTTTTGGCCCCTAATTCCTGAACTGTTAGTACCATAACCCCCAAAATCAATCCCCACCTTCCTTTTGTGGTATTGAACCTTATGGTAAAATTTCATTGAGATCCATTCACTCAAACTAAAGTTAGAGTGCGAAAACTAATGTGTATTCGGACGACGACGCCGGACGTCGACGACGACGCCAACGTCATACCAATATACGACCACAAAAATTTTTTTGCGGTCGTATAAAAATTGTCCTTTATTCTAATATGAAGCTCTTCTTTCCCTTTTGTAGACAAAGCCATGTTCTCATTCCAATAAAACATTGGGTGTACGTGTGCAATGTCGCAATCAAAATTGTAACTTCAATTATATTTTGAACAATGACTGATAAGTAAGAAAGTTTAAAAGTTTGCAAAAGAATTGGAATAATTCTGTCATGCCATGCTGTGTGGGTTTTTCTCATTGCTGGAGGCCATACGGTTGCTTTTAATTGCTTACATCCACTTCATTTGAACTTTGATGGATAGTTGTCTCATTGCCAATCATACTACTTCTCCTTACTTTTACAATGTCTGCAGAATACATGTAATTGTTGAAATCACACATTACAAAGTGATGAGAACAGAAGACAAGAAATAAATGAACTATTGATAGACTATATCCCTTAAACTGTGTTTTCTAGCTTATTTTTTATCGCCGATGTATGAAGGACTTTAATGACAATTCCTCACTTTATTGTTATAGATTTATTTTACAAAGATTGGACTAATGATTACTGATTATGTGTTGGTTGTAAAGTAATCCCTGAGGAATGTAGGTAAAACTAAATATATGAATACTATTTGGCTAATAGTTGAAGATATAAATCATTTGGAACCACAATTTATTTAAAATATTTAGTCTCTCATCATCATTTTCTGCTTTTTGAGTTTTTTCTGAGAAACTTTTTTCTTTGTTGGTTCCTCCTCTGTACCTCCAGGTTTAGGTACTGCTATTTCTCTTTCTGCCAAGATAACTTCTATATGGCAGGGACTGCTCATGTAGGCTGAAATGATAAAATAAATTTTTATTGTCATAAAAAATATAGTACCGTATTACGCCATGTATAACCCAGTCGTTTACTCTAATATTAAAATTGCATAAACTGTTAACACATAGATATGTCTCGCCTATTTGTTATTTTGATCATGCAAATGTTGAAATTAAAATAGCAATACTTTAACATGTAAGTTATGCAAATATTCAAAGTCAATGAACCATGACTGAAGTATACAGGGCTAAACAATCTCCATGGAAATGAGATGTGCCAATTCTAATACAACTACATACCAAATATCATTGACAAACCTAAAAACAAACATTAACTTGTAAATTATGTAAAAGTTTCAAAGTCGATGAATCATAATGAGGGGGTGGGGTTATATAATCTCCATGGAAATGAAACTTGCAAATGCCAATACATTTGCATACCAAATATCGTTGAATTAACATTAGTGGTTCATTTTAAACTTAAAATCACAAACTAATACATGTTAACTAAGCAAAAGTTTCAAAGTCAATAGACCATGACTGAGGAGGCAGGGCTAAATAATCTCCATGGAAATGAGATATGCCAATGCTTATACAACTGCATACCAAATATCATTGACCTACCAGTAGTGGTTCCCCATAAACTGACCTAAGCACAAACTAATACATGTAAACTAAGCAAAGTTTCAAAGTCAATAGACCATGACTGAGGGGGTGGGGCCAAATAATCACCATGGTAATGACATGTGCCAATGCTAATACAACTGCATACCAAATATCATTGACCTACCACAAGTGGTTCACCATAAACTAGACTTGATCACAAACTAATACATTGTTGACGCCGGAAACAGCATTACCTGTCTCGCTTTTTAACTCTGTCAAGGCGAGACTAAAACAGGGTTGCGGTTTATAGAGTACTATAAGCTAGAAATTAAAAAAAAAAAAATTGTAATGTTTTAGATGTTTGTTTGCGATTTACTGAATTACACATGCTGTTTCAATTTCCAGTTAATGACAACTTTTCCTGTGATTTTGGCGTTTTAAACACTATTGAAGTGTTTTAGAATCATTCACAAATATTTACAACTACTACAAACAATCACACAAGGCTTAAAATAACAGGAGTTTCAATGGATGTTTCCAACAAGTGACCAAAAAAAAAATTTTCCACCAATTTCAGTGGTGAATAAAATGCTCCGCTGTGCGCAGCTTGATAAGACCCATAGGTCGAACCCTGAACAGTTGGGGCAAGTATGGACACAACATTCAAACTTGATACAGCACTGAATTTGGATTGTAATTAAATATTTGACACAGCATAGGTTTTTGCAGTACAATTTCAGAGAGATCAATACACTTGAACACAAGTTATTGTCTGGAAACTAGAAAAATGCTTGTTTTTTTGGCCCCAAATTCCTAAACGTTTAGGGCAATTACCCCCAAACTCAAACCCAGCTTTCCTTTTGTGATATGGAACCTTGTGGTACAATTTCATAAAGATCCATACACTTACACACAAGTTATTATCCTGAAACTAGAAAAATGCTTGTTTTTTTGCCCCTTTTTGGCCCCTTATTCCTAAAATTTGAGGCAATTACCCCCAAAATCAATCCCAGCATTCCCTTTGTGGTATGGTACCTTACAGTACAATTTCAGAGAGATCCATACACTTGAACACAAGTTATTGTCTGGAAACTAGAAAAATGCTTATTTTTGGCCCCTAATTCCTAAACGTTTTGGGCAATTACCCCCAAACTCAATTCCAGCTTTCCCTTTGAGATATGGAACTTTGTAGTACAATTTCATAAAGATCCATACACTTACACACAAGTTATTGTCATGAAACTAGAAAAATGCTTGTTTTTTGCCCCTTTTTTGGCCCCAATTCCTAAAATTTGGAGGCAATTACCCCAAAAATCAATCCCAGCATTCCCTTTGTGATATGGGACCTTGTGGTACAATGTCAGAGAGATCCATACACTAACACACAAGTTCTGTCTGGAAGTTACAAAAATGCTTATTTTTGGCCCCTAATTCCTTAACTATTGGTACCATAACCCCCAAAATCAATCCCAACCTTCCTTTTGTGGTATTGAACCTTATGGTAAAATTTCAAAGAGATCCATTCACTTAAACTAAAGTTAGAGTGCGAAAACCAATGCATCTTCGGACGACGACGACGACGCCAACGTCATACCAATATATGACCACAAAAATTTTTTGGCGGTCGTATAAAAAGGGTGCAAGATTATGTACCAATACACAGTGTTCTCCCCAGGCTGTTTTAGTGTCGCGGCACCGAGACGCTATATTTTTTTCCCGTGATGTTATAATAATTTCCACGACGCTATAATTATTTTGAGGATGCTATTTTTCTTGTCCGTAAAAACCATGTCCTAAATTTTGATCATAAATATTATATCACCTTTAATTGTAATCCCTTAAAGTCGGACAATAGAGGCAATTTAGAGTGATTAAATAGGTGCTAATTGCCCTTTGGGTGATAACTATTTAGATACGAATACCCCAAGCTGACACTTATGACATGACTAATACCATGTGGTCCAATCACAAATTTTGACATTGAGAAAATGTAATCAGAAAATCATAAACAATTCGAAATCTACGTTTGCATAATGTAAATTCAAAGATACAAACAATTAATCTCTTTAGAAAAGAGGTTTGGTCGTTTGTTTTTACAACTTTCAATATATTATTTTCTTTCCCTTCCGGTACTACTTGTTAATCAAGAGCGTATATTAAACATTTTGATTTTGAGCTAAATAAGTTTGATACTTCTTTAGAAAGTGATTCAGAATTAGCTTTAGTTAATGTTTCATCCATTTAATGCATTAAAAGCGTCATATTTATTCCCAATCCCTTGTCAAACATTGTTTATTTTCGTTAATTTTTCTTCGGCCGCCATTGAAATATTTGTGTAAACTACGGATCGGAACCGGACCAGATATGACAAAAATCCGTATTTTTACGATAATAACTACAGATGCACAAATGGCACAGTAGACAGAAATAAAATGCTCTGCTGGGGCGCAGCTTGATACGACCGCAGAGGTCGAACCCTGAACAGTTGGGGCAAGTATGGACACAACATTCAAGCTTGATACAGCACTGAATTTGGATTGTAATTAAATATTTGACACAGCATAGGTTTCTGACACAGAATGAAAGTGGTCTAAGAACTTAAAAATTTTCAATTTACCTATTCATACATGTGATGGACTGTGAAACTCAGATCAGGAGATTGGGAAATTTTGGTCAGGAGATTAGGACTCAGATCAGGAGGTTTTTAATCGACATCAATTTTGTTGTAAATGTAACCGTGTGCTGTAAAAATGGTCTTTTAAAGTGTGTTTTCTTCAACTTTCCATCCAATTTATTATGTTTATAGTACCCTTGTACTTATAAAGTTTCTCCATCTTTATATTCTACATGTTCAATCTAACATTGTATTTTTCCAGTATGTTCTTTAAATTTTTTACTTCATATTCTATAAAACAATCATTGCAACCAGAACATTTGTTTAGCTATCTGCAAATAGTTTTTATTTTTTTTTTTTCTCTTGCAAATAGTTTTTATTTGCAAACTCAGTAAATCATTTTATCTGTAAAATTGGGGTCATAGTTATTATATAAATTTCAATTTAAGCCTTGAAAGGAAGTCTAGAATCCTCAAATAATTTTCAAATTATTATTTTTTTATTTGTCCTAAGACATTTAAAATCATTTAATAACCATCCTTTTATGATTATTTGTTCAATTTATATTTTATTTATATTCTTTTAAAAATTTTCATTATTAAAAGGAAAGTAACTTAAAACAGGATAAATCAAGGGAAGTAACCCAATAAATACACAGTTTTTGTTACACAACGGCAGTTAGTCTGAGGTAAAAATCGTTGATTACCTGTATGTTTGACACCCAAGCTGACAAGTGAAGCCATATAATTATGCATGTTAATTGATTTACAGGTAAAATATAACTTCAGGTAATGTCAGTTACACCAGATGCCTGAGATGATATGTTGGGCAGAAATTTTTCATTCATGAAAAATTTCATACACAGGATTTTTTCCTCTTCAACGGGAGGTCGGGAGGAGACCCCTGAAAACGGGATTATTGTACTCCCGTCGGGAGGTTCACATGTATGCCTATTCAAACCATATCATTATTATTTGCTATTATATATATAAATCAGAAATTTTATATATAAATCAGAAATAACCAATTTAAAATGGAAAATGTTAAAGAAAAAAAAAGGAAAAAAAAATCCCCCCCCCCCCAATTTTTTGAACCCCCTTATGATTCATCACCCCCAAACTCAATCCCAGCTTTCCCTTTGTGGTATGGTACCTTGCAGTACAATTTCAGAGAGATTCATACACTTGAACACAAGTTATTGTCTGGAAACTAGAATAAAATGCTCCGCTGGGGCGCAGCTTGATACGACCGCAGAGGTCAAACCCTGAACAGTTGGGGCAAGTATGGACACAACATTCAAGCTTGATACAGCACTGAATTTGGATTGTAATTAAATATTTGACACAGCATAGGTTTCTGACACAGAATGAAAGTGGTCTAAGAACTTATAATTTTTTAATTTACCTATTCATATATGTGATGGACTGTGAAACTCAGATCAGGAGATTGGGAAATTTTGGTCAGGAGATTAGGACTCAGATCAGGAGGTTTTTAATCGACATAAATTTTGTCGTAAATGTAACCGTGTGCTGTAAAAATGGTCTTTTAAAGTGTGTTTTCTTCAACGTTCCATCCAATTTATTATGTTTATAGTACCCTTGTACTTATAAAGTTTCTCCATCTTTATATTTTACATGTTCAATCTAACATTTTTTTTTTTTCAGTATGTTCTTTAAATTTTTTACTTCATATTCTATAAAACATTTATTGCAACCAGAACATTTGTTTAACTATCTGCAAATAGCTTTTGTTTGCATACTCAGAAAATCATTCTAACTGTAAAAACAAGGGTCATAGTTATTATATAAATTTCAATTTAAGCCTTGAAAGGAAGTATAGAATCCTCAAATAATTTTCAAATTATTATTTTTTTATTTGTCCTAAGACATTTAAAATCATTTATTTACCATCCTTTTATGATTATTTGTTCAATTTATATTTTATTTATATTCTTTTAAAAATTTTCATTATTAAAAGGAAAGTAACTTAAAACAGGATAAATCAAGGGAAGTAACCCAATAAATACACAGTTTTTGTTACACAACGGCAGTTAGCCTGAGGTAAAAAATCGTTGATTACCAGTATGTTTGACACCCAAGCTGACAAGTGAAGCCATATAATTATGCATGTTAATTGATTTACAGGTAAAATATAACTTCAGGTAATGTGAGTTACACCAGATGCCTGAGATGATATGTTGGGCAGAAATTTTTCATTCATGAAAAATTTCATACACGGGATTATAATTTTCCTCTTCAACCGGAGGTCGGGAGGAGACTCCTGAAAACAGGATTATTGTACTCCTGTCGGGAGGTTCACATGTATGCTATTCAAACCATATCATTATTATTTGCTTTTATATATAAATCAGAAATAACCAATTTAAAATGGAAAATTTTAAGAAAAAAAAGGAAAAAAAAATCCCCCCCCCCCCCCAAATTTTTTGAACCCCCTTATGATTCATCGAACCCACACTCAATCCCAGCTTTCCCTTTGTGGTATGGTACCTTGCAGTACAATTTTAGAGAGATCCATTCACTTGAACACAAGTTATTGTCTGGAAACTAGAAAAATGCTTGTTTTTTTGTCCCTTTTTGGCCCCTAATTCCTAAACGTTTAGGGCAATTACCCCCAAACTCCAACCCAGCTTTCCCTTTGTGATATGGAACCTTGCAGTACAATTTCATAAAGATCCATACACTAACACACAAGTTATTGTCCTGAAACTAGAAAAATGCTAGTTTTTTGCCCCTTTTTGGCCCCTAATTCCCCAAATTTGGAGGAAATTACCCCCAAAAATCAATCCCAGTATTCCCTTTGTGATATGGAATCTTGTGATACAATGTCAGAGAGATCCATACACTAACACACAAGTTATTGTCATGAAACTAGAAAAATGCTTGTTTTTTGCCCCTTTTTGGCCCCTAATTCCTAAAATTTGGAGGCAATTACCCCCAAAATCAATCCCAGCATTCCCTTTGTGATATGGAACCTTGTGGTACAATGTCAGAGAGATCCATATACTTACACACAAGTTATGTCTGGAAGTTACAAAAATGCTTATTTTTGGCCCCTAATTCCTTAACTGTTAGTACCATAACCCCCAAAATCAATCCCCACCTTCCTTTTGTGGTATTGAACCTTATGGTAAAATTTCATTGAGATCCATTCACTTAAACTAAAGTTAAGAGTGCGAAAACTAATGTGTATTCGGACGACGACGCCGACGACGCCAACGTCATACCAATATACGACCACAAAAATTTTTTTGCGGTCGTATAAAAATGCTTGTTTTTTGGCCCCTTTTTGGCCCCAAATTCCTAAACGTTTAGGGCAATTACCCCCAAACTCAATTCCAGCTTTCCCTTTGTGATATGGAACCTTGCAGTACAATTTCATAAAGATCCATACACTTACACACAAGTTATTGTCCTGAAACTAGAAAAATGCATGTTTTTTTTGCCCTTTTATGGCCCCTAATTACTAAAATTTTGAGGGAAAACCCCCAAAATCAATCCCAGCCTTCCCTTTGTGATATGGAACCTTGTAGTACAATTTCATAAAGATCCATACACTTACAAACAAGTTATTGTCATGAAACTAGAAAAATGCTTGTTTTTTGCCCCTTTTTGGCCCCTAATTCCTAAAATTTGGAGGAAATTACCCCAAAAATCAATCCCAGTATTCCCTTTGTGATATGGAACCTTGTAGTAAAATTTCATAAAGATCCATACACTTACAAACAAGATATTGTCATGAAACTAGAAATATGCTTGTTTTTTGCCCCTTTTTGGCCCCTAATTCCTAAAATTTGGAGGCAATTACCCCCAAAATCAATCCCAGCATTCCCTTTGTGATATGGAACCTTGTGGTACAATGTCAGAGAGATCCATACACTTACACACAAGTTATGTCTGGAAGTTACAAAAATGCTTATTTTTGGCCCCTTTTGGCCCCTAATTCCTTAACTGTTAGTACCATAACCCCCAAAATCAATCCCCACCTTCCTTTTGTGGTATTGAACCTTATGGTAAAATTTCATTGAGATCCATTCACTTAAACTAAAGTTAGAGTGCGAAAACTAATGTGTATTCGGACGAAGACGCCGGACGACGACGCCAACGTCATACCAATATACGACCACAAAAATTTTTTTGCGGTCGTATAAAAATGACCCCAAAAGAGAAAACTACGCATTCCACACGCATTAACAGACTATTTGTTAGATCTCCTTGCTAAATGTATTCATTTTGGAAATGCATTGTTTCAATATACTGATTAAACTTTGTTCAAAATACATATCATTTTGATATAAAGAAACAACTGGGACTAAAACATTGAGTACCAAGAAACAATGAATTTCATAGACATGATAAAGAAAATAGTTTTTTAATTGAAATTTTATTGCTATATGATACTTTCTCTTTCTTTTTTATATAAAAACCAGTTCTTTTTTTTTTTACTAGATATTTAGTTGGGTAGGTAGTGTACAATGTTACTGGAACCACACATATATTTTTATTTGGCCCAAGAGGAAAAAAATAATTCTGTAACTATAAATTAATATAGAAAACATAAACTGAAACAACTGTTATAGTTTATTTGTATTCTCAGTTATCAATTAAACAATATAAACATAACAAAAAGGAAATAGAGCATCGCCGCAACACGACAAATGACATTGAAATTTTTTTTTAACGCCAAATGTGATGCTATCCAAAATTTCTGGGGAGAACGCTGCAATACAGATTATCAGAATTTAGTAATGAAGCAATTAAGTGGAACCATTAATGAGTTTAAGGTCAATACTTACGGTTAATTCGACCATGAGCTCTGTATGTTCTCCTTCTCATCTTGGGAGCCTCATTAACCATTATGTGTTCAATCACTAAGTGATCAACATCTAAACCCTAAAATAATTAAAGAGACCTGTTACCAACTAAACAATGTAGTCCTTTGTGTAAAAAATTACTATCTACATGTTAATTGTGTTCATAGGTAACGGGGCTCGACAATTCATGGTGAAGAATTACAGCACAGAGCCTATGGTTATTATTCCTGTCACTATCATTGCACCAGAACATGGGACGTTCTAATCCACAAATGTCTTAGACAGGTTGGAAAGATTGTATACATTTTTTATACATAGCAATGAAAATTATCAATTAAAAGTCCATTTGTCTTTGATAAATCTTGTAAAATTACAGAAGCATCATGATTGTAATCTTTAAGAATTTGTAGCAGGAGAAACATATTTGTGTGGCTGCTGACAATTTATATCAAATACTGAATAACAAAACATTTGTCCAAATATCAGCCTATTAATTGCTGTTGTAACCTTGACCTTTGCCATAGTGATGATAGATTAAAACAAATATTTTGTAATTTTGCCAAGTACCTTTTTTCACTCCAAGACTGATAAAACCTAACAAAGACAGGAACAGATCTGACATATAGCTCAAAATATATAATACCCAAACACAAAATGAAAATAAAGAAATGTGTCAAGATTGGCAGAGAGACAATAACTTTTACAAATGTTCAATCTATTTAAAAGGTATTGTGACCTTCACCTGTCATCTATCATTCCAAAATGTGTATTGCTTCGTTCTTTGCAAGAGGCATATTCAGCAATTTTTAGAAGAATGGACATAATGGTTCAATAGATGTCTTTAGGAAAACAATTTTTACTCCAATTTCATTCAATCATGTGTTCTGAACTTTACCTTTTCTGAAATGACCCCAAAAGTTCAAATTATGTTATTGATAAGGTATACAAAAAATTCTTATAAAACATTAGGGTCATACAAATTGTAGTTCTAAATAAGGAATGCTTTGGAAACATTTTTTTTAAAGACTTTGAAATTCTTTATATTGTGTTCATAGGTAACGGGGCTCGACAATTCATGGTGAAGAATTAAAGCACAGAGCCTATGGTTATTATTCCTGTCACTATCATTGCACCAGAACATGGGACGTTCTAATCCACAAATGTCTTAGACAGGTTGGAAAGATTGTATACATCTTTTATACATAGCAATTTTTCTTCCTTTTATATTTGGGACCACTGGCAATTTTGTCACAATACACTACCAAAATAACAAGCATTCTGAGAGTATTGCATGGCAATACATAGTCCCCTACCGGGGAAAAAAATCATTATACTGGAACAAAAAGCTAACTTGTTCTATAACTTGTCATGGTGTAAACAAAAAGAAAATATCAAGTCAATATCTTCAAGCATGACTAAAAACAATGTGGAAAACTGATTAAATGAGTGAATTTTTCAAGTCCAAGGACCATAACTCTGCACAAAATTATCAGACCGAAACAAAATTTCAAACTTGATCTGTATAAATAGTCGTGATAAAACTATATACCAATTAGCAATCAATATCTTCAAGCATGATGAAAAATTTAACATTAGATGTGATTAATAGTTCTCTAAAATTAGATATGATGTAATACAGTGTATATCTATTTTCAAATTATAATCAAATATAATTAATAGTTCCAAATATTTTTTCTTTTATTTGTCACAAAGTAATATAGATTTGTAACTTATCTATAAAATGTCAACAATTTCTATCTACACAATGTAATGTAATGTAATATATACATTAATAAAAATAGATTATTATCTAATTAAAGGATTTCACTTCATAATTTTTTTTATATATATATAGCATTCAGAAAATTAGTTTATACAAAATAACAAACAAACCTGCCAAAAAATTCTTCAAATAATTTACCAAAGAATTTCTTTTAAAAAATTAGTTATCTCCCTTTGTACAGATATATGGGGCGTGTTTTATTGGTCTCTTCTGCACATCTCCAGAATGTCTTCTGGTGAAGAGTCCAAAAAAATGAATCAGGACCTCTTCTGGAGATATTCTACGGAAGATCAAAAAAACAAAAATTCAATTTGCCGTCGAATATAGCAGATTTTTGTTATGTTGGGTGATATAAATGAAGTTTACGATGATTTTATAGAAAATTAAGATACGTCCGGTAGACATGACTGTAAAAGTGTGCTCTGTTCGTGACATTTTTCTTTGTTCTTTCTTCTAACTCAATTTTGCTAGACAAATCACTATTTGATTTTTAAGAACAATCTTAAACTGCACAAAAATTCGTCAATGTTTGTCTCGAATATGATAAAAAAGGACATCTTGTCTATCCAATTTTTTTTTAAAGTAACCAAACTGGATTATTTTTGTATAAGGCAAAGATATCGGAAAGTTCTCAAAATCATTTTTCTCTGGTGGTCCTTGAAGAAAATCTTCTGGTCCTAACTATTATTTCTATTGCAAAATTTCGATGGTCAAAACCTTCGGACCACCACTTTTCAAAAATTTTCATTGTATATGGATCTTCATATGCAAGTATACAATGTATACCAGACATTTCTCAGACTCTTTTTATTCTTTTTTTTTAATAAATCTATTGGTTGTGTACTGATTGATACTTCAGTCTGGGAGAACAAGATTTATTTCAGTACTAGTTGTAATTAGCTTTAAATAATTTTCCAGTAATTGCAAATACTCTTATTTCGGTGCTTTGTGTCTATTGTCTTAATGTAAGTTTTTTGTGTGTGTCTCGTACCGATTTTTCGAGTTAATCTAATTGCAATTGATTTGTGCAGGTTGTTCTTATATTGTACTATTACACCACTGTCCCAGCTTCGGGGTGGGTTAAGCGCTCACAAACATGTTCTTGTACTGTTACACCACTGTCCAAGGTTAGGGGGCGGGTTGGGCCGGATCCCGCTAACATGTTTAACCCCGCCACATTCTGTATGTATGTCCCTGTCCCAAGTCAAGAGCCTGTAATTCAGTGGTTGTCGTTTTTTGCTGTGTTACATATTTGTTTTTCGTTCATTTTTTTTGTACATTAATTAGACCGTTAGTTTTCTCGTTTGAATTGTTTTACATTTGTGATTTCGGGGCCTTTTATAGCTGACTATGCGGTATGGGCTTTGCTTATTGTTGAAGGCCGTATGGTGACCTATAGCTGTTAATTGCTGTGTCATTTGGTCTCTTGTGGAGGGTTGTCTCATTGGCAATCTTCGTTTTTATATCAACCCTGCCATATTCTTTGTGTGCCTGTCCCAAGTCAGGAGCCTGTAGTTTAGTGGTTGTCGTTGGTTCATTTCTCGACTCATATTTGATATTTTGTAAATTATTTTGTTATGTATAATTAGGCCGTTAATTTTTTCGTTTGAATTGTTTCTCACACTTTTCACGTCGGGCCTTTTATAGACGACTTTTAATACAGTATCGAGTTTGTTATTGTTGAAGGCCTTAATTACTGTTGCCTATAATTGCTTACATCCACTTCATATTTAAACTCCGGTGGATAGTTGCCTCATTAGCAATCATACATCTCTTCGTTTTTTTATTATATACCTGACTTTTAAACTCGTGTTTTCCTGAACCGAGTCCTGAACATGCATGACATATTTGTCACTGGGCGTTAAAAATTAGCAACAAACAATCAATCAATTTAAACTTGTGTTAAATAAGAAGAAAAACCATATGATATTTATTCATTTATTGGGGTGGGGGACAGGAGGATTTCATTTATGAATATGGTTGCCTGGTAAGAGCTGAAAAATAGGCATAATTAGCGACAGATTAAAAAAGTTAATAATGCCCTCTTCCCTTCCCCATCCTTCATCTATAATTTAAACTGACCACCACGGAATAGCCCAACTTAGTGTTGAAAGTAGCGTTAAACACCAATCAATCAAAATCCTTTCCCTAGAATATCAAATTGTCGTCCCTTAACTGTTATTGTCCGTGTAGTTCTTATATTTATCCAGCTTATCGTCCTACAGGGATGTCCTACTAAGACTGTCATACCATAAAAACGTTTATAACACAGCTCACATTCTAATATATCTGCATTCATAAATTTATCAATGTCATTTAGACTAAACGACGCCATGTTTGTTATGTGCCTCTGCCGTCTAAACTACCTATCAAAAAAGAAGAGGTGGAAGAGAGCCAGAAGATCTTCCCTATGCAAAAAAACAGAAATGGACCTCTTCTGGCTCACTACCGAAGAACAAAAAAACACGCCCATGGTTTAACATAGTACTCTAACATTAGATATGGTCCAGAGTTATGGTCCATAACTCTGGACTAAATCATCGGACCTGAACAAAATTCGAACTTGATCTATAACTTGTCATGGCAAAACTATATACCAAATATGAAGAAAAAAAGTGTGGAAAGCTGATTTGCCTGACTGACGGATGGACAGACTGACAGAGTGCAAACCTAAAGTCCCCTTCGACTTCGTCGGTAGGGGACTAATAAAAACTATTGTTTAGCCATTTAGAGACACAAAAATCAGGTTAAGTAGGGAATACTCAAATCAAATATTTTTGTATTTTGACCTAGAAATCTTTTCAATCAAAGGCATTAATTAACCTAACAGAGATTGGTACAGATCTGTATTAGAGCTCAAAATTGATATTACCCAATACCAAAATAAAATGAAGAAATGTGTTATGATTGCCAATGAGACAATAACTTTCCCAAAATTCTCGCCCATTTATAGGAAACTCAATTTTTCCCCAATTTCATTCTATCAAATTGCTCTGACCTTGATCTTTAATGTTGTCACCACAAAAAATATAATTTTTATGTCAATGAAAATGTGTTGAAGAAATCAGTTTCAGAGCTCCAAATAAGAGTTCCTTAGGAATTACTTATTTTTTAAAGACTTTGAAATTCTTTATATTGTGTTCATAGGTAACGGGGCTCGTCAATTCATGGTGAAGAATTTCAGCACAGAGCCTATGGTTATTATTCCTGTCACTATCATTGCACCAGAACATGGGACGTTCTAATCCACAAATGTCTTAGACAGGTAAATTTTGTCTCATTTAATGAAATTTATTCGTTCATTAACAACCTTGCTATCATTCCAGATATTTTGCTTGTCCATATCACATGACATACCTTGTATTCAGCATTACTTTCAGCATTTTTCAACAACTGAAGGAGAAATTCAGCACTTTTCTTGGGCCATCTACCTTGTGTTGTGTTGAATTGTTTTGCCTGCCAAAACAAATATTGTTCATCATTATATTATCATATTATTGATTTGTAAATTCATGTATATAAGGTATGAGGCATCCAGTTCTTCTTCACCCTTAAATATAAAACCTTATACAAATAGCTTACACTGTTGCTAGATTCTATTCCTTATATCTCACACAGGCAAGACAAAACTAGATCATAAAAATTCAAGCTTCCAGCTATTATTTGATTGGAGGTTGATAAGGAATTTCAGAGCATCAGCTCAGAGATTCCATTTGACTTGAGTTGGCAGCATTCAAAAATGGGGGGAGCAGCAAAGTTCGGGCACACGATTTGACTGATTTTGAACAATGCTGAGTTGGATGAAAGACTTGCATGTGTTTTAATTTTGACATGCATAATCAAAAAGGGAAAAATGTACACGCAAAAAAGCATATGGACATTAAACATCAGCACATCCAGAAACTAAAGGATGGTACACATGATTTTATCTCATCCAATTATTCACCTTCCTTCTCAATGATTGTGTAATATTTGAAATGAACAAAAAATGTATCACTACAGTGGCATGGGAGGTAGCCAATATTCAGCAATACAGCAAAAGAGATTAGAAATAGACTAGAGACAAGCATCTGTGGAATAATCTGTATGGTATGTCAAGTAGCGTTTGAATAATATGATGTTATAATAATACAATTGAAGCCTTTCCCTATCAGTCAATACATGTTTTTATCGACCCACAAAAGTAAATTGACTTCATACTGTTTCCTGAGTCAATCAACTTTCATAATAACAAAAACAAATACTGACCTTGTTAAAAGGCTATTATTGTGTATATGAAAATGTTTTATAAAATTTCACATGTTTCTCAAATTATCAGTCCAGATACAGTTTAATACAGTATATCATGTATATTGGTATGAAGCAGTGATGAGTATATCTTTAAAAATATTGGCGACTTTTTTCATTTTATCTTATATCTTATTAAATTAAAATTTAATGCAAGCATCGACTCAGTATTGTATGTTTTCATAGTGTCAAAAGGAAATTCTGAAGTATAAAAATATTGATTAGTCTGCTGATTCATGTTAAATTTAATTTCCTTAGACGATTACATGTACAATACTACACATGTACATTTTGGAGAGAATTGACAATCTAATCTTGTAGTTAATTTTTTTAGGTTACAATTTAGTGTTGATTCTTAGTACAATACAAAGTACTGACAGAAAAGAATTAATGAAAAATTTAATATCACATTTTACAACATATTACACTCAATATTTATAATCTAAATTGATAAATATGTGCCTCTCTATAGATGTACCTGTGCGGTTCTTCCAATTCTATGATTAAATCTTCTGAAAGGTACACATTCTTTCATGCCCATCACATTTTTCAAGTATCTTGTGGCTCTTTTGACATGCATGTGTTTTACAGCCTGGGCCGTTTCCCTTGTGTTCTGAAAAAAAATCAAACCGACATGGATCATGTCCGGTGTAACAAAGATTTACAGGCTGAGAAATAATATCTTGTTCATAGGTTATTGTTGCCATCTTTAATATCATCTAGTGGACAAGTGTTACATTGTATAAAATTTAGTAGAAGGGCATAACAAAAAACAAAACAAACGGAACAAACCATTTTTAAGTGGTGGGTAAAAAAAATATTTTTAAAATTTGGCCCTATAAAATGTACATTATTGACTTCCTTACCTTGAAATGCACTCTCAAGTATGACCCTCTGGCCTTGGCCGCTAAAACAAAAAAATTAAAACTTGAAGCATCCCTGTTTATCATTCTTGTAAATTATGAAATACACTAAAACAACTATTTTACGAAACAAGCAAATACTAATACCATATAAAACTATACAATTACATATATTTCTAGAACTTTCAATCAATATGATTTCAACACGTTCACTGAAAGACATTTACTGGAACCAGTTTTCTTTTAATTAAGACTATTTTTTTTACCTGCTTAATATTATGTACAATATTTTCATTGAAATGTACACGTTATTACTTAAATAAGCCTTCATAAAGCAAATACTTTTTTGATAAAATAATTTCTGTCATTGCTATATATGCATAAATGTAGGTTGGTACTTACATTTGGTAGGGTTTTCTGGTTCTGTGGCGTACCGAACCATTTTCTGGAAATAAATTGGTATGAAATTTATTATATATATTTTAATACGAGATACTTTTACAGGTTTCATAAGAAATAAGAAAAACAATTCTTTTCAGATAGTGTTGGTCAATGGCACTGGTCTGTCAGTTTGCCATTATTAATGACCTGACGACGAGATTCAAATTGGCAAACAAAATAGGCAGAGACATGTACAAAAGAAAATAATTAGATAGTGTCAAGGAAATGAATATTCAAACATAAATAGGTATGTCGTATTATAGAAAAAATATCGAAAAAAAATGAACTATATGCATTGACAAGCTTCACTGTATTAGTGGGACATTAACAATAAATTTTAGAAATCATTGGGACCTGAACTTGTCTCAATTCTGAACGTTTTACTATAGGGAAAATCCATAGCTCAATGGTCTGCAATTTGTCAAAAAATATCACAAGAACTTCTGCAGCTAATATTATACATGTTATATAATACATGTATGATGTAGCTGGCAAATGGATATCTTCCCATGGTATTTGTACAAAATTGCACATCTTTTCATTCTTTTTCTTGGTTGTTTTGAAATAGCAGTACCTTGAAAAATTAATAATACAGTGTTGGACCTTACACCAATCTAAACCAAATACTGCTATTACTGGACAGACAAATGACGGCTGGAAAACACATATGCCCCCTACCATCGTCTTTCACTAATGTTTAAGTAATCTTTCGTGTGTAACCACGCTTTTTAAGAACGAAATGGTCGAGGTTACTACTTATATCACAGAAAAGTGTTGTGAATAGTATATTTTTTGCTGCAGTTTTAAGGATACTGATTAGGGAATTGTTGTCTTGATATAAACAACGGAGTCAGTTCTTAATGAATATATATAATTTTGTGAATCTTAAGTAATTGACTGATATATGGAGAACATATTTATAATTTATTGACATAAAGCTGGTAGATTACATTAGATTGCTAAATATATTTTATTCAATGTGTGTTGTACCTAATTTAGACGGAAAAGGAAGTTGAACTCAGCACCGGAAGTTGTAATATAAAATGCCTCATCTCGAACCAGGATGTTCCTTGCCAGTTCCAGGGGACAATGCTTCAAATTTATAAAAGAATAAACATTTGACATAAAATAACACCATCAATTCAAGATCAAAACAAATAACTTTCAATAGAATCAAGTGATATTAAACTTTTTTTTTCTTATTTTAAAGTATATATTTAAGCAGCATAATTTTAAAATATTATAATACAAGATCTAGGACATGAGTATATTGACAGTTAGACAGGTTAGTATAACAGTACCAGACAAGATAATTCTTCTTCTTTCAGATACGGGAGTAAACTCCTAGGTAGGTGTGTAAAACTTCCCAGAACTTGTGTGCTATGTACATATGGACTTAATTAAAATTACTATAATCAATAACAAAATTGATTAACATATATACATTATGTACAGTGGCTTTGGTGGTTTAATAAGTTGGTGTGGATCCTATAAATGTTAGAGTGGATATGCCACTTAAGTGTTTCAGACATACCTATTGCTTCTGACAGGTAGTAAATTCCAGTCAGAGATGGTGTTTGGATAAAAAGAATATTTGTAGAAATCATTATTAGTTGCAATTTGCAAAAAATTATGTTGGTCCCTAGTACGTCTATAAGATTTTTTTTAATTGTCCTTTGGAACTTCTTCTAACCCCAATTAATTTGATATAGCATTTTTAATCTAGCTTTTTTCTTCTATTATGTAAACTGTCCCATTGCAAAGAATTTATCATGTTGGAAACTGCACCCGGTGTTCTGTCTTTATAATCATTTTAGATAAATCTGGCTGCTAAATACGCTGAATCTGCTCAACCTGAGTGATGTTCTGCTTTTTTTAAGGATCCCAAACAGGGGAAGAGTATATTCGACGACTGGACTGACAAGTGATTTTTTTAAAAATTTCTACGAAGAAAGCCTAAGGTTTTATTTGCCTTCACAGGTAATATTATTTATATGTGTACCTAAGTCAAGACCATGGCTTATCGTTACACCCAAATATATATTTACTGTCTTAAACCTGAGACTACTACTGTCTCAGCTTTAACAGATTTTAATACATGATTATTTAATGTATAATCAGTCATGAGCAGAAGGGTTAAGATTTTTTAAGATATATATACATAACATTTTTCAGGATTAAAATTCATCTGCCAGTCCTGTTCCCATTGCGCTAAACTAGATAAATCATTTTGAAGTGATTATGCATCAAAATTATTATATACAATTCTATTTAATAAGCAGTCATCTGCAAGATGCAGTGATATTAGGTTTTTAATATAGGAAAATATGTCTTTTTTCCCTGAAAATGATTATGAGCTCACAAGGAGCATGTAATCGCAAAATATCTTAGTAAGATTATGTGTAGTATTGAGGGTTGAGAAACGGAGGCAAATTGGGGTCCAAAGGGTCGCAACTCAGTTATCCAAGATTTCCAGAGAGTCAGTCTTCACATTCCATTAATCGAGTTCATACCTAAATTTGCTGCAATGTCACAGACAGCTTATATTAGCTTTTGGTAGCTCTTGAAACCGACTTAAAACAACCAAATGCAGACAATTCAAGTACAGCATGGATATGCCGGTTTCTCTATTCTGTCATGCATGATACTCACTACTATACTTTCAACAAAATCTAATCCATCAGAAAGTTTCGTAGTCATTAAAATCACGAGACTTGTTGCAAAATTTGTTGACTTGTGTACTGTTATATCTGTGGACTAGTAGTGACATTTAACCTCTTAACAATGAAATTTTGAAAGGAATAGGCATACACTAAGTATCACTAATCAAGTAACACTTTATTTGAATTCAGCATATTGACAAACATTTCAAAACAATCAGCTCGGATGAGCTTTTCAGCAAAAACAATAGAGATTGACGAGTGCTGTCCCCATGGATCGTTAATATACGCTCATCACAATGAGTCACTGCCCTTGGCTCTTTACTCTACGCCCTAGGAGTGTTGTTGATTAGCTCGTTACTCGACCAGATTTGACACAGAGATGTCAGCCTAAAGATACACAATTGGAATAATTATGAATACTGCATTTATTATTTTTTGTTTGATTATATATACATGTCAATAAAACCAAAATGTTGGGTATACTTTAATACAATACAATACAATACAATACAATATTTTTATTTTTACAAATTAAAGGGTCCATTAAGAGCATAACATTAATAACAACATGACATAAACATTACAGAGTGATTAAAGAAACATAAAATAATAGTTAATGACACTGCAACCAAAAGACACCAATAACCAAACAGAAACATCCATAGATCAACATAGAGTCTTCAGGAATGTATAGGTGTCTATGCAATCACGATGTCAAGCTCTAAATCGAACAAAGTCTAGAATTTGTGAAACAAATTCAAAGTCTATCAAATACCCATGGGTCAGATTGTTTCCGTTTAGGATATATATGTATATGAATAAAAGGAGATGTGATATGTACAAACGAAGCGGCAAGAAAGGCAGAAATAACCAAAATAAATCTACAAGAGTTTATCGTCATGTTAGTAGTACTCCAATCGAGACCAACGTTGCCCTGCTTTTGTGCAAATTTGTTCCTTTATACTGCTACGAATAAAAGTTTTTGGCTAATCGTTAGAAAAAATCCGACAAAGCACTAAGCTTGATAGACATTTTCATCTACAATAATACACATATATACATTCTTTCCAAATAAAAAAAAAAGAACTATATCAACCCCTTCTTTCTCTTACTAAATACAACATTAAAGTCACTTCTGATTTTTTGTTGGGTTCGCGTTGCTGAGCCTTTCATGAGTTTTTTTTATATGTCGTGTTTTGTAGACTGTAATTGTTTTTTGATGGTCTTTTGTCATCGCATTGTCGGTTTTTCTTCGACTTATGATTTTTGATTGGTTCTTTTTTATCTTCTGTTTTTATATTTTTTTAAGGTATCGTTGTCCTTTTATCATCCAAGGCTTATTAAAATTCAGACTTATATTAACTCGCGTGCTCGTACATACTCATATGAGTATAACGAAATCAGAAAACTATATTTTAATTAGATTGTTTATCATCTTTAATATTAGAAATTTCAAATGGATATCTGCGAACCAAAAAACGTATGACAAACGGAATATTCCCTCTACTATTGTTAACGGTCTTTCCTTGATGGTAAAGTTACATGAGCTATACTTACGGAATGTTCATTTCACGGCAGTCGGTTTTGTATGCGCGTGTATGCAGTGACTTTTTAAACTTCGATGGATGTTATGTTTTCATCATTAGTTTTTACAAATGTGATCTTAATCAAAATCGTGTCATCCTGTACTGTTTTATTACGTTGCTATATATGGTATCTTATAAGACTGAATACAGCCACCGTAAAGTGTACGAGGATACGATTTCTTATCGATTGAACAGCCAGTCTTATCGATTGAACAGGTCAGGTATTTTGCGATCGTTTACTGCATGTAACTGCTATAGTGTTCTTTAATATGGAATACTATTATAAGTTATATGCCCGCCCGGCAGGGGCGTAGCTGCCGTTAGGCACTTTAGGCACGTGCCTATGTAAATGCTCTTTTGTTCCGACGTTGGAAAGTTCCGGGCGGAAAGAACTAACTAGCCGAAAAGTTCCGGAGGAACTTATTAAGTAGTTACTTTAGTTCTTCCTCTGGTTTAAAAGTTCCACCGGAACAAAGTGACTAGTTGAAAAGTTTCAACGGAACATATCAACTAGTTAGAAAGTTCCTTTTTGCCAAATTAGTCAAAACCGGAACTAACAAACTAGCCCAAAAGTTCCAACGGAACTTATCAACCAGGCAGAAAGTTCCATTTGGAGAATTGATGCAAAGTAAAAGCGCAACATATTATATTTGAACCTTTCAAAGGGAAACCAAGATACTGATTACAAAAGTCAAAAGGAACTTATCAACTAGCCACAAAGTTCCTCTTTGGCAAATAAGTCAAAACCGGAACTAACAAACTAGCCCAATAGTTCCAATAGAACTTATCAACCAGTCACAAAGTTCCATTTGGAGAATTGATGCAAAG